TGAAAGACTAAGAAAATTAATGAAGGGTGACAAGAGCTTCCAAATATGACACAGACTTTTTTTCTCAATACATCAAGAGTGGATCTTGGGGGGGGGGAATAAGAATGAAAGAAAGAAATAAAGAGAAAGAAAGTAGAAAAAGTAGAATGAGTGCAGGAAGTATACCACCTGTATAAAAAAAGATTAGATAACCAACATAATCAGTGGAAAGTGAATATGTATGGAAGCTGCTTAGACCACAGTGAAAAATTTATGTTTTGGACTGCAATAGAAGCATGTGAACTGATAGTTGAGATATGATAAATGATACTTGATGAAATTATGAAGTAAAATATTGTGGATGAGGAAAAAATTGTAGATGAGGAAAAAAATTGTATTAGAAAAAGATTTCAGCAAAAAAGAACGATAGAAAAATATGGTACAATGTGTTTAGACAGAAAAAGATAGCTGCATAGAATGTAATCAGAAAAAAAGAGCAAGAAATGGAGGTGGAAACAATGCCGAATTATTTTGATGGAAATAAAATATTTTTAAACCCTTTTACTTGTTTTTACAGCTTCCAGACTTCGCTTCCAACAGGGAACATAATTAAAAACAGAAGTAATGAAATGATTTACAGTGAAATTGAGGTGAGGAAATGCTGCAGGGAGTACTTTAGAGTTTTTATATGGGAATTATTGCAATATGTCAAAAAGTAGAATGGAAATAAGTGCTATAATGATCAGTGTGTAAGAAAACAATGAAAACAGGAAGCCCAAACTGTGGTGAGAATGGTTGAAACTGATAAAGCTCCAGGTGTTGATGGTGTAACAAGAGAAGTATTGCAATATAGATGTGGCTTTTGCTTATGGTATGTCTGCACACTTCATTTGATGTATGTGTGAAGTCTGCCTCACTGTCTGACAACGAGAAGAATGCAATATGGAGGGAAAACTACAGTCCCTATATCCATTTTAGTGCAAGCAGAAACACTACTCAGTTAGTGAATGTAGCTTGGTGTTTATTTTTTAAACATCAGCAAGCATTAAAAAGTTATCTGACAAAATGAGACAAAAGGCAGGCAGAAGTAGGAAAGAGCGATATGACCAAGAAACAAGAATTTTTGTGAGTTACTTATCTGTATCTACAGAACATTCAAAAACCACTGAAAATGGTATGTCAGGCAGTTTGCATGGACATCTCAAAGAGGTAGGCCTTTTGGTTATTCCCACACTAACCCCTTTATAAGTGTAACTGTAGCAAAACAAAAATGGAAAGTAGGACTCCAGGTGATTATTTTGCACCATGAAGAAAATAATTTGGTGGACAAAAATACAAAGAATGTGCCAAGTATTTGCTTTTCAGCAGATCTTTGCCAAGTGTATGACTGTGAGAAATAAAGTTAATTATATGTTTGCTGTTCTTAGACGACATGATAAAGTGGTTTGAATTATGAAATGTTTTATGGGAATATGATGCTGAAGATGGGTTGCTGAATATGATAAGAACAAATATATGATGGAAGTTCAGCATTCATAAAAATAAATTTAATGCTTAGCAATTGGTTCAATGCTGAGCAGGAAATAAGACAAGGATGTGTGACATTGCCTTGGCTGACTAATATATTTATAGATAATTATATAAGGAGTGCTTGCTATCATTTAGAGATGCATTAGAAGCATTAACACATATGTACATTTACATGCAGATAATTTTGTGCTATTAATTGAGAACCCAAATGATTTACAACAAATGTTAGACATATTGTATGATGCAATAGTATAGATCTCAAAATTAATGTATCAAGGTTGCTGTGTTTGATAACATAAAAGGCCTACCCTGGCTTCTTGTTTAAGATGAACTGGAAACTTTAACTGCTCCAAAATCTAACTGTCCATCTAATAATGGATGAGACCTCTGTTACGTTACACCTTCATTACTGGAACTACATTAGCTACCAGTTAGCACCCAATGCAGTTCAAGGTGTTGTTTTTTACCTATACAGTCCTCCAGGGCTTGGGACTAGGATATCAGAGCCGAGGTGGTGCAGTGGTTAGAGTGCAGTACTGCAGGCTACTTCAGCTGACTGCTAGCTGCAGTTCGGCAGTTCAAAACTCACCGGCTCAAGGTTGACTCAGCCTTCCATCCTTCCGAGGTGGTTAAAATGATGACCCAGATTGTAGGAGGCAATATGCTGACTGTGTAAACTGCTTAGAGAGGACTGTAAAAGCACTATGAAGCGGTATATAAGTTTAAGTGCTAGTGCTAGTGCTATCTTCAAGACCACCTACTAAAGGTGGAATCGACCATCCAACATGTACAGAGCAGTAGTGGGTTCCTCCCGGTTCGGCCCAGTTCTCCCGAGCCGGTAGCGGTGACGATATGATGTCACCAAACGGGTTCTGCCCCCCCGCCACCCCCGACCCCCCGCACCCCACCCCCCGCATTATTTTTACCTTTTATTTGGCCCCACCCCCAATCTATTGCTGCCTCCTGAGTCCCAGCTGATGGCTAGAGGGAAAAAAACCTGTTTAAACTCTTGCCATGGGGCTTCAAAGGGCCGCCCTACAGCTGATCAGTATTAAAAGAAAACAAATGAGTAGATCAGTGCCTGCAAAAATAAATGGGTAGACCAGTGCCTGCAAAAGTACATGGGTAGATCAGTGCCTGCAAAAATACATGAGTAGATCAGTGCCTGCAAAAATAAATGGGTAGACCAGTGCCTGCAAAAAATAAATGGGTAGACCAGTGCCTGCAAAAAATAAATGGGTAGATCGGTACAGCTCTGCAAGCAGTTAAAAGCCTGGTAGACTGCTAAATCTTAAATAATTGTCACATGACCATCAAGCCACACCCACAAAATAAACCACGCCCACAGAACCGGTAGTAAAAAAATTTAGAACCCACCCCAGTACAGAGGCTGTCTGCTGAAGATTCCCAACAAAAAATGGGTTCCCAGAAGAAGGCAATTTTGGGTGGGGAGAAGGCTTTGCACTGATGAAGCAGCTTGCCCCCTGAGACAAGGGTGGTCCCTTTCCTGGTTTCTCCAAAAGATTTTCAGAAACTAAATGGGGTGGATTCACTGCCCACTGTGCCATAAATGATGTAGGTATAGGTACTCTTTTAACTACCATGCTTCTTATGATTATATTATTTTACTGTTCTTGTGTGTAGTGGTGAATGTATGCCACTTAGAACCAGTCAGATTGAAGCAAAGTAAAAATCTTTATAAATGAATAAGAATAAATGATTTCAAATTTTAGTATGAATGGCAGCCTTTAAGATTTGCAAAAATGGTGGCAGAAAGGAGTGGATAGTTTATGGTCTGTGGCAAGGAGAATAAATGTTTGTTGAAAAAAGTCAAAGGGGCTGTATATAAGAGTGTGGTTCTGCCTACTTTGTTATATGGATGTGAGGGATGGGTAAATCAGGAGAAACATGAAAGTTCAATGCAGCAGAATTTAAACAAGCGTGCCTGATAAAATAAGAACGGGGAAAGAATAGAGGCTGAATACAAACGTGAGTGACCAAATAGGAAAGAAGTAAGTTGAGATGGTTTGGTCATATAGAGAAAATAAATAAGAATTGAGTTTCAGAACAAATATATGAAACATACATTAAGAGGAAGAAGAAATCTGGAGTCGATGAGAACTTCAAAAAGAGAGAAGCAAGAAGTTTAAAAAACAAAACACAACTTATGAAGTAGTGTAATTGACTAGGTGAAAGCAATGAAGGTGTTAGCATAAACTTGATTTATATATCCCTTTTTTCCTTACCTCAGGCCTTCAGTTTCTTTGGCTTACTTTTTTTTTTTACTTTATGAACTTCACATTACAGAATGTGATGAATATGGGTCTATGTATGCCATATTCACCTTTGCATCCAATTTCAAAGCAGTTGAAAAAGGTGGAGACTGAAATATTCTCCTTAAAACTTTAATATAGCTACATAATTTCCTTTACTATATATTACTTAAACGATGGTTCATTTTCTTCTGGAATTCAGATCAAATGTATCTGGAATGCTATGACAATGTTAAAATCTCCACATGCTCCACTAATGAGGCAATGTGTGTAATACAAAACAAATTCATGTGACAGCACACACTGTACAAAGATTCTGCCTACTGGGCTCACCACAGCTATAAAGAGAGAGAGAGCAATTCAGCACCTCTCATTTTGCACTTTCACCCTGCTTTGATAAGTGCATCCCCAAACAAATTTCTTATTCTATTACCTGGGGGGGGGTATCAGGGGTGGGTTCTACCTACCTTTACTACCGGTTTGCAACAGGACCGCTCGCACACACGCGCACACACTCTTCTGCATATGCGCAGAAGCGTTCTGGTGACATTGGGGTCAGTGGACGGAGCCTCCCACAGGTTTTACTACCAGTTCTATAGAACCGGTCCGAACCGGGGGGCAACCCACCATTGGGGGGTATGTGGAAGTATTCAATTTAATTTACCAAAGCTGGAGTTGACAGAGTGGGGTCTAAGAACAGGGGGGGAAATCAAACCCAAATTGCCTGCTTCTTCCAGGATCATGTCTTGCCACCTAATAGGAGCATCAAGTGCCGGGAAAAGTGGGGTGCTCAAAGAAACCAATCACCCAGGTTGAGCCCTCATGTCCTGTTTATTCATCTCAAAAGGGAAGTTAAGGCTCCTGTTCCACACAGGTGAGGTTGGTCAGATCTGGGTATGAGAGTTTCTGGTGGTGTCCCTGCCCTAAGGAGCAACCTCCCTCCTGGCAGCCCCCAATCAGATCAGATCCCCAGCTTCATTCTGAAAGGCAGCCAAGATGGTGACCACACAAAAGTTGATCTTGTCTATGCCAGCTGCTCTTCTTATCTCATGCGGTACAAGTGATTGTGTCGGTTTTGCTTTTTTTTAAAAAAAAAAAAAATTTTTTTTTACAGTGGTTTTATCTGTATCATTTCCCACCAAGCATCATTCGACTCCAGAGGTTTAGAAAGGCGAGAAATCATGAGCCATTAAAAGTCATAACGAGAGGCTGCCCTACCTTAGGCAGACTGGGGCCAGGAAAGGAGAACTCATTCCTTTGGGGCTTCTCCACGCCAGGAAGAGGTTGCAAATCCCGAAAGTTCCTCGTTGCTTCCCCCCCACCCCCACCCCCACCTTCATTTCCGAGAAGGTGGAAGCTGTAGGCGCCAAGGTGGGTTAAGCCTGAAAAGGTAGCAGGCGGCGCTCCTGAATTAGGGCGCGGGATTCCGATCCGCCCAGCCCTATTTCGTGTCTCTCGCCAGCACCGATTTGCAACGCGGAAGGGTTGGTTGTTGCGGTTGGGACCGGGATTGTTTCGGGCAAGGGCTGGCTTTGTCGGGTGGAGTTAACAGTAGTGTCTGGAGTGGAAGGAAGCCCGGAGACCGGGATTGGCGCAGCACGAGGCTCGCCCAGGATCGGGAGAGTTTCAGCTCAGGCCGTGCTTTTTATGCGACTCGTAAGCATTTCCACCAGGCGGTGCTGGGGTAAAATAAAACCGAAGCGGTTCGCCTCCTGACATTTCGCTTCGCTCGACGTGCTTGCGAAGCACCTAGCCTTCAGCTGAGCCTCCCTCCTCCTCCTCTCCCATTAAATTCGTCCCCTTCTTTCTTTTGGAACAGTTTACTTACCCCCCCCCCCAAAGGAAAGAAAAGGGCGGAGAAATATAAACGCGTGCAAGATGGAAACAAGTTAGTAAGAACGGACTTGGATCATTTTTTTTCCACGCTCCAGGATTGGTTCGGGAACTTCGGGACAGGCTACTCCAGATCCTTCCTTTCCCGCCTGCCCCCCCCCCCCCCCCCCCCCCGACTTGAGGCTGCAAAGCCTGCGGCTTCCGACCGACGTGCCTTCGCAGAAGCAGCCCGCCCCACCTTGGCCTGCGTGGAAATGCCCTAAGGAGAGAATTTCCCAATCTCGCAAAGGCCGTTTGTTCCATTGTTGAAACGGCCTTGTCCTTAACGACGTATTTCATAACCTTGGCTCGGCCTGGCTTCCTGTCTTTTAAAGTTTATTGTTTCTCGAGGGGGCGGAAAGGCCGCTTTGGGTGGCTTCGGCGTCTGGTTTTGATCCCGACACGCGCGCGCAAGGGCGCACGCACACCCTGGTCGTTGGGCCTCGACGTGGGGATCGCCGGGAGCGAGCACACGCAACACACACACACACACACCCCGGGGGAGGAAAGGCCGGATGAATTGAGGCTACGGGACGACACTCGTTCCAACGTATCTCCAATTCAGCGTTTAGCAACTCCGCTTTTTTTTTCCCACCTCCCCTAGTCACAGCTCCGCCTCTCCGACCGAGAGCAGGTTACGTGGGGTGGAAGGCTGTCTGCTGAAATCTGGATTCATTTATACTGACTTCAGATCTGCCACCTGCGGTTGAAAAAAAAAAAAAAGTGACGATGGAAAAAAATGAGGACCAGATTGCCTTCCTTTGCTTAGTAACCGAGCAATAGCAAAGCGAGGTCTTTCTTTTTATGGCTGCTTTACCTTCCAAGAGGAAGACATTCAGAGTTTAGCTGTTTTCACTCAAAAAGCTCCTGCTAAAACAGCTAAGCCACATTCCCTTTTGACTGAGCTCTTCCCAGGCCAAGCCCTGGGGTCAAACTGCAAGAATCTGAGGAGCTATAAAAGGACAAGTCAGAAGCTTCAAAAGGCTGCTTCTCTCACCTTATGTAGGATAAGCTTTAGCCATACCTTTAGAAAGCTTGAGCTTTTTCATTGACAGTTGTTCAAAAGACAGACCAGGTAATCCAAAAATGGGGTTCAGTCTCTTGACTGTTGTGATTACTGGGAGCTAAAACTCCGATCCCCTTGGGCTCAACTGGCCTTAGAAATGCTACTTAGAATTGGCTTAGAAATCCAATTGTTCCTGCTTTTCCTTTATGGCAGAGCCTGCCCAAAGGTCCTTTGAAAATGGATCCATTAAACCCATTATATGCAATCCCCACTTTCAGCATCCCTTGAGGCCCTCAAGATTGCACTGGCATAATTCAAAAGTGTTTTACAGAATAACTATTTGATTTATACAGCTGCCCATCTCACCATAGCAACTCTTTATCATCTACCATCGGGTGGAAAAAAAATAAGAAATCTTCCCAAAGCCCTCCGCCCCTTCCCCCAAAAAACCACAAAAAGGAAAAGGGGGACTAAATATCATGGCTCTGTCTGTTTGCCAAACTTCATCAGTAACAGATTCTATCAATTTGTGGTTTTCTGTGGCTGATTTTTTAAAAAAGAAAACAATTGACCTTTGACCATGTAAAGGTAGGACATTATTACATTAAACTGAGACTGTGTGGCTTGGGCATTCCAAGGCTCAGTGCAAACAGTTGGCTGAGATAAAGATTCATTGCTCTTCCCTGGCCTTTTGCTTTCCAGGGGATGATCTGGAGCTTGGCTACATTTTTTTTTTTGCACTTTTTTTTCGGGAGACTGGTAAGTGCAGTTTGTTATCTTGGGAACTGTTGCTATAGAAACAGGCAGAGGTGGGAGGATTTTTTTTCCCCCCAGTAGCAGGAAAAGGGGGCATTTTAGGTAAAAATCCTTTGAATAATCTCTACCGTGGAACAGCATTGGCATAACCAACAGCAGTGGAGAGCTGACTCCAGAGTCCAGCTTTGAACCCTTGGCCTGCCAGCTTGGGAGGGAGGGAGAAGCCATCTGTTTGCAACTACTAATCAAGACAAAATGGCTCTGTTGATTTCATCACTCCTTACTCTTTACCAAATCTTTCTCAGAATGCCACTTGCAGTGACAGTGATGCATCAGGTATCTGAAGAGATTCAACACAGGAAGCTGTTTTATGTGTCAGAAATCCAGCTATTTGATATTATAGATTAGTACTGACTGGCAAGAGTTCTCTACATATTTAATCTACCCACCTTGCACTTTATTTTTACATGGGAGCCTATTAAGAACTTAACCTAGGAACTTTACCTTCAAAATGTAGTATGGTGTCATTCGACTTAGCCTTAACATGGTACAGTCATGTGTTTGAGACAAGGAGATCAAGCAAAAGAAAGAAAGCACACCATGCCCCACGTATCCTGACTCTTCCTCCCCCCAATTCTCTTAGTCACCCAGTTCTATTCCTGTTATTAAGGATACCCTAACTGGACATTCATTTCTCAGTCAAATATAATCTCATCTCTCAGGCGAAGGACTGTTGTGGCAACTAATACAGGCCAAGTTATAAATTACAAACAATTCTCAATGAAGGAGTGCTAGGATCAGAAAGCCTATTGGTGCTCAAAGTTATTGCAAACATTGCAGTGGGCCAGCACATAAAACCACACACCCTCCGCTCCGGGGGGGGGAAGGAACCTCTCTCCAGGGAACCGGTCCCTGGTGCCCAAAAGGTTGGGGGCCACTGACTTATACAGACCATGAACAATAATATGTGAACATAACTCAGTTACAGTGTGAAATAGTAAAAATGGCAGCTCTGAGAATGTACAGAATTCTACACTCGCAGAGTAGAAGGGACTTAAGCCAAAGGGAATGGAAAAAAAAAGAAGTATTCATCAGTAGGTATGCATGTAATATATTACCGTATGTGCATACTAGGAGTTAAAGTGGGGGGGGCAGCCGGTAGGTTCCCTCATTTTGGTTGATAGCGTTGCTCATCACTGAACAATATGGTGGTTGTACTCTCCAAAACGCTTTCTATTCCTGGGAAGGTACAAAAACGAAGTGAACAGGATGCTGGACAATTGAGTTTGAAACAAGCTGCTTCCAGAATGAATATGCCAAATGTGTCAAAAGTGTTTTGCTATATTTTTAGAGCCATTGTGATTTTCCATAAACACGATGGGGAGAAATGCTGCCCCGCCTCGGGGTCAGGATAGACTGTTACAAAGTGAGAGTCCCTCCCGTAATTTCAAAGGGTGCCTGTGGAGAGGCCCCGCCCCCCTCACTTGGAGAATGTTACCCTCCGGTGCTTGGCTAGATAATCTATGACAGGTTCAATCAACCACAGCCATTTTGCAGGAGACTGCCAAACAGTCACTTTCTCTATTGTCATGCTTGGAATGAGGTCAAGTACTGAAGTCACGACTCAGATGATTAAAATAAAGATGTGCCGATTCTGCAACTGAACAGAACTATGAATATTTGAACTATGTTCAAATGCTGGAAATAATCTTCATTTAATGGTATCTCAAATGATGTTCTCTTCCCTCTGACTTCTGTTTGGACTTTGGCTGTACTACCCTTGTGTCCCTGCAACAACCTGATGTGTTGCTTTCCTGGGACGAGCTGTAGGAGGTTCCTTTGCCGGGCAAGCGATGCTCTCAGCTGTTGCTAGGAAACACTTTTCATCCTGCATAGCACACATGGCTGATAGCAGCACTTTTTTCTTAGATACTCCCTCCCCTTTCTCAGTTCTAGCCTTGGTTTACGCAGTTAAGCTATCTCCAGCAGCAAATCTGATTTTTTTTTTTTTTAAGCAGGAGAAAGTTGCAGTCACAAGTGCTGCAGTGCTAAGCAGAGCTTCACAAGCCCAATTCAAAAGGCGAGATGGTGTAGTATCTTGGGTGGGTCCAGGCTTAAATTATGCTTAGGGTAGACCAACCGAATCAACAGAATTTAGACTTGTCCCATTCATTTCATTGGTCCTGCGGTCCACTTGAGAAAAACCTAGATGCAACTTGCTACCTCCCTGCATCTTAGTCCAATTTTCTTTCCCCTGTCCATTCAGCAGAAGCAAGGCAGATAGAAATGCAGACATTTTTTTTTATCGTAATCAGGTCCAGATAGCCTCCCGTTCAAAGTACCATCAGCTCTGCTGCTCATACAAAACAAGCAATGGTGTACAAAGGCACAAGTGCTTCAAGTATCACAGGAGATTTCTGCCCCCGCATCATCTGAAGGGCAGCATGAATCGGTAGGAGAAAATACTGGGCCCAAAGAAGATCTCTCAAAGGGTGATGTGATGCTTTTTTTTTTTTCTTTTCCAATAGCTGACCCTGTAGAGAACTTATCATACATATTTTAGTTAGCCTGGGCTATTTTGTGTTACCGGATGGTCTAAGCATTTCTGAAGTGTACCCAAGTGATAGGAATAAAAACAAACAGAGGCTAAAGTCATCTAGGAGTAAGTCACTATTGTTCAAAAATGGGAATAGCCACAAGTGGCTATTCCAGTAAGAAAATAATATTTTGTGGTTAGTGCTGAGTAAGTCTCAGTTCCTACCCACACAGAGGAAGCGCTATTCTGGGTCGCATTCCACAGAGGGCAATATCCACAATACAAAGAAGCTGACTCACAACAAGGAACTGTATGCTCTGTCCCATGCTGCATGAGGCTTTTGAGATTCTTAGGCAGCCCATTCACGAAAGGAGCCTGTGACAAAGGTGGCATAGGTCAGCACTGTTATCCAGTGAATCGGAAGGCACAGAACAAGAATATATGCCATCTTTCATTTAGCTCCCCACGTGCACACATAAGCATATGTTGCACAGTTGTCGTTCATACTGCTGAAAAGCCTGAATTTGGCAATCGAAGTCATCCCCAGAACTGGCTAGTTCCAAAGATTCATAAAGAACCAGCTAGATCTGTGCTTCTCAAAACGTTCATTGGCAGCACCACTGATTGGCTGACCTCTACTTTTCCACCACAAAAAGTGGAAACTTTTAATAATATTTTTGAAGCAAGTCAGGAAACAGCCATGTCGCTAATACATGAGAAACAAGAGGGATATTGCCCGGGGCAGTAGCTGGGCCAGTGTCAACAGAAAGAGGATGCAGCAAGCACGAAGAAGGAGACAGGAGGGTAGGAAGACCATTGGGCAGGGATGCAGTTGCTGTATCAATATGGGGAGGTCCCACTGTCAAGGAATGCCAGCGCAGTAACAGATCTCCAGTGACAGAGCAACTGGGCCCTGATCTCCATTTCTTCTGGGGGGTGGAATCCAGGACCCTCAGGCTAACAAACTGGTATAGCTCAGGGGTGAAATGCTCCCGGTTCAGACCGGATCGCCTGATCCGGTAGCGATGGCGGCGGGTGGTTCAGAGAACAGGTAGCAAAAATCCCTGCACACGCACACACACACACACACACACACATGCCCAGCTGAGCCGCGCGATCATCAGAGGCTGTTTTTTTTACTTTTAAAAGCATTTTTTCCTGCAACCTCTTCGGCCGAAGAAGTTGTAGGGAAAAAAAATGGCTTTAAAAGCCTCTGGCGATCACAGTTGAGTTGCCTGATCGTCAGAGGCTTCTAAAAGCATTTTTTCCTGCAACCTCTTAAGGTTGTAGAAAAAATGCTTTTAAAAGTTAAAAAAAAAAGTTGGCCACACCCACCCAGTCACATTACACACACACCCCACAAGCCATGCCCACAGAACCGGTAGTAACAAATTTTACATTTCACCACTGGTATAGCTCCTGCCTAGAAGTATGGTAGCTTGGGGTGATGTGCATCATCCACACTCATGAAGATACTGGTCAGCTCTCACAAGAGTATTTACTGTGTCAGGGAAGCAGGAAAGCAGCTAAATGTTACAAGCAGACTGGCTGTTTTTGGTCTTCAAGTGGTTGTTACTCCTTCAAACTGGTTGTGGGCCTTCAACATCCTTTCCTTTAAGTAAAGCTAAATCAGGCCCTGATACTTTTGCTTCGTATCTGCCTTGTACTGGGGTGTAAAATAATCTGCCCCCTTAAATTTCCTTGACAGGCCCATGATAGCTTCTCTTTCCAAGGCTTTGCCAAGCAAGCACGACACTTTTCAATAGCAACTACTGAGGGGTGGTTTTGTATGTTTCTCCGGGCTCTGTTGCCATGGCAGCAGCACAGAGAGGCCTGCAGGCAACACTGTCATTCCAGAGAAGGGGGCTTCCTTCTCCGCAGTCAGGAATGGCAGCTGTCAGCTCTGCTGAGAATATATAGATGGGGGGGCAGGAAGCCACAGGCTCCTCCCTCTACCCTGCCATAAAGCCATAGGGTGGCCAATTCCTCAGGGCATCATAATGGGCTCATCCAAGGAAGGAGGTCTTTTAGGGGCTAACACATCCTCCCCTACATACATTGGGGCCTTCCAAGTATGTTCATTACCACTCCCATGAGCTGCAGCCAGCAGCTACCAAGCCATTCAAAGTTTGGTATTTACAGGTTAATCCGTGTTTACTCAGTCATTAAACGAAGTGGTCACTAAGTGAAATCACCACTGCTTTTATGATCCTACTGCAGCTTTCCTTTGTTTTACAGACCGGTGAAGGTTGGAAATGTGAGGATTGGCCATAAATTTGCTTTTTCATCACCATCGTAACTTTGAACAGCCACTAAACAAGGACTACCTGCACTTACTCTACAGTCCGTCTAGTTCCACCTTATACCAGTGGTGGGTTGCTACCGATTCGCCACGGATCAGGTGAACACGGTGGTGGGAGGCTCTGCCCACCCGCCCGGACGTCTCTGCGCATGCCCCCTCGAGTGAACCGGTAGCGGCCAAAATTGAAACCCGCTACTGCCTTATACCCTTGGATAAAGGCCAAATTGTTGCACATCCTAAGGCAGAAGAAGCAGAGAACTTTGTTTGTTCTACTCTGAAAGAAGGACGGGAAAGCCAAATTAAAGACTGCCCTTCCATTTTCAGAGAGGCTCCATGGCTAAAGCCATTCCATCTCTGATAGGCAACTTTTGCACTGGGATTCACTGAAAGGAAAACTGGTAAAGGGAGGGAGTGCATAATATGGCTCTTTTAGTGGCTGGGGCTGATCTTAACACTATTTTAAGGAGACAAAGACCACCACACCTTTCATGGTTGTTAAGGGAATACCTGCTTCAGATAGCACAAAGGTAGTTGCTGAAGGCTTTTCAAATTACAAAGCAGCAAATGGAATCATAAATGTGCCATGTGCCCATAAGAGAGTTTCAGCCAACCTCCTCCTTGCATCTTCCTTTTCTTGTGGAAAATAATCTCTGTCCTGGTCAGTGTTGTGTGGTCACTAATCAGACCTGGACTTTATTAAACAGTTTGGGCAAGTGGGTGTGTAGGTGGCTTTTTCTGTCGCCTGGTTGTGTTTTAGCACAGGTTAAGAGATTCTGGTGCATGGAGGGGGCTGTCTTGGTTTCCTTAAAGGATCGCAATAGATAACAACTACTGCAGGAACGTTTTCCTCCATCTGAGGCTCTCAGAGTTCACGATCATCAGCCTATGCCTGGCATGCTCATCCGGAGACCATGCCCGTTCAGGTGACAGGGCTTCCCCACAGCTCCAGCGCTCTCCCCCCCACCCCCATCCAGCTTTCGTCTATTTAGCGACACAAGATTCTAGGAATAGCTCTCATTCTGCGTCTATGTGTAGGGTGGCAGAGCTGGGAGGGGGGGGGCGGAGAGTGGGGAGGGAGAAGGCGGCTATGAATCAAGACCTCCATTCCAGGCACTATTCTTGGCTCGGGAAACGGGGAGGGAAAGCAAGCACGGATTTCTCTGTGGGGGCTGAAATCGAGCCTCGTGGATTATCGTCGGAAGCCTTTCCCGCTGTGGCGCTCCCCCACCCTTTCCCCGCTGCCCTGGCGTGCTACCCGGTGTCAAGGGAGGCCGCATTCGTGACGTTGACTAAACGAGAGGCCCGCCCGGATCGGGGGGGGGAGGGGGGCAAAGAAACGATCCTAAGGGGAGCCAAGCGAATATCGGCCGGAAACTCCGATCAGGAGCCTCCCGGGATCGTCCCCCGGGATCGCGCCGTGGCGGCGAGGGCTGGTGTGTGTGGGGTGGCTGCCAGCTGGATCGCTCGGTTCGCCGCCTCGCCCGCCGCTCTCTACCAAAGGTGGTGTTGCTGGGGGCCGCGGGATCTCTCCCAGGAAAGCCCCGCGAGCCCCCCGAACTGGGCAGGAATTGACTGGAAACTGGCGGCGGCGGCGGCGGCGGCCGAGGGTGGAGCCAGTGGGCGGGGCTGGCAGGGAGCGAGCTAAGCAGGAGCCAGAGAAAGAAAGAAAGAGAGACGCGTGAGCGCTCGCAGCGCAGAGGACAAAGAGAGAGAGCCCGGCACCGCCCGCGTGGAGGCTGCGGCGGCCGGCCGGCCATGGGCAAGGCGAGAGCGGGACAGCGGACCGGCCCCCCGAGCTGCCTCATCTCTTGCTAGGTTGCGCGCCCGCCGCGCTGGACTGAAGGCTGGGGGCGGGTGGGTGGCGGGCGGGCGGCAGGGAGAGGGATGGCTCTGCCGCCGTCCAGATATGGGGCTCCTGCGAGCGATCCCTGATTTCGGCGCTGGAAGAAACGGTGAGGAGGAGAACGACCTTACTCGTAGGGGTGGGGGAGGGGGTCCGTCCTCCTAGGGCTCTGCGCCCCTGCTCCCTCCTCTGCCCCCCCCCCGAACCCTTTTCCAAAGCTGCCCTCCGCTCTCCACGTGCTTAAGGTGCCCCTTAACGTGCCAGCCAGCCGTTCGGAGCTTTTTTCCTGCCGCCGCCGCCGCCACTACCACCCCCGAGCCAGTCGAGCCGGACCATCTTCTGGGATTGGAGATTCGTCGCCTCCTGGTGGTTTGGGCACCTGGGAGTTTGGCGCAGCCTGGAAACGTGGCATCCCTTTCCCGTGGCTGGCAATGGACTTGGCCAGGTGGCGATTGGCAATATATGGGGGAGGAACTCAACGGGGTGGTGAGGTGGGGGTGTGTGGGGGGGGGAGGCAGCAGAGAGAAGCTTGGCGCGTTCTCGTTTGCTTGCGGGAGCGCGCGCTTCGGCTTCTGCGTTTCGTGTGTGTGGTTTGTGTGTGCGGGGAGACGGGGGGGGGAGTACGCGCAAATGTGGCTTCTTCGGGGCGCAAGAAGTCTAGGATCGGGGTGTCTCGGGCAGCTAAGAAGGTGGGGGGGGAGAGAAAAACGACTGTAAAGCGTGGGTGACACCGGCACAACAGTAGACTGAACCACTATTCGAAGAGCTGGTCTCTATGCATCAGGGATCCAGGAGGGTTGGTGGAAATGCAGGTGGGACCTGGAGGGGGGGGTCTCCTTACGTCCAGTTGCCTTCTCTGAATGGAGGCCAAGAGGTTTTCCTAGCTGTATCTTCTCCAGCCTTGATTGTCCAAATGCTGTGTTTGGGAGAGCTCAAAGTTAGTAGCAAAAAATGATGGGGGATGGGGGAGGAGAATTCCCATTGTATCCCTTTTTTAGTAGGAGAGATTAACCACATTCAGGGGCCTGGCCTTTCTCAACCTGCTTGCTTCTTTCTCCAAGACCCATTTCTGTATACAGTATGGATCTTTAATTCCTCTGAATAGCATGTAATCTTTTTGGCTCAACCTGCCATTCCAGGTGTAGTTTTTGTTACGAGCCATTTGTTCTGGGCTGGCTCCAGGTGGATGGAAAGCAATGAAAGAAAAAAACCTTTAACCTCCAGGGCTGCTCTACTACATAATTGAGGGAGCAGATACAGGAATGAGGTTCGGCTCCTTTCCTTTGAGGCAGCAAGTGCTCCCAGAGAATCCTTTTAAGGGGCTGGTTCTGAGCTTCCCTGACTTCTCGTGCAGCGTGACTTAGTTCTTAAATCAATCCTGCACATGATGCCTACATGGTTGTCTCCTTGAAGCCACCTGGAACTAAGCCTGACTTGAAGGAGACTTTAATGTATATGTATGCGTTAGTGGCAAGGTTGAAAAACAGCATCTTTCTGCTGAGTTTATACCTTGAGTCTGAATCCTTGCCAAATCCAAGGCAAGGATTTCACCACCATTGCAGGTCTAGAAGAGATCATTTAGATTATTCTCTCTTAGTCTCTGAGATAAGAGTGAGGGGTGGTTAGTTCCCATTCTGTTCTGTCTAGACGTCCACAAATCTATCCTTTACTCCCCTACTCCCAAATCCAAGAAAACATCTCATTTCCTTGCCAGTACACAAGGATGGTTAGAATGACAGGCTTGGATGAACAAAGCTAATGCGTGAGAATAAACCACAAGAAGAATCTGGAGCAGGGATTGAGGATTCAAGATAACTGCATTAAGGCAGCCCAGAAATGAGCTGTAAGGCACTTTATCTCCAAAACCAGCATTCAGTCTGACCTTATGTCAGAAGCTAAAGAGCCAAGCGGGCACTCGATTTGGGCCTCACAAAGGGGAAGAAAGGAAGTTCCCTTATCAAGAGCCACCAGAAGTTCCAGCTGTAGGTCAGAGGCCTCTGTTCTGGCTGGATTGATGGGGGGGGTCTTATCTCTCACTAAGCCGTCTGTGCTTTGAGGCATAGCTATTCAGGTAGGCCAGTCTTTTGATGCATTGCTTTTAACTCCCCCACCAGCCACAGCCATTTTCTATTGCTTCCCATTGATACCAGCCTTCCATTAGGCCAGATTCATGCTGAGGAAGAATCAGTGCCAAAATGTTGCTGAAGCATTGACATTTATGGTCATGATTTGGTGCTGGAATCTGCAGCGCCCAGTACAGGCATCCCCTTTATTTGGGAGTGGGTACAAGGAGAGGTACTGAATTCTTAGTTTTGCACAATTCCTGTTAGAACAGTCTCTTTTTCTCATACAACACAGAACATTCATAACAGACTGGTTTTTTAAAAAAAACATATGCATGAAGAATTAAAGTGCACATAATATGTATTACTGTATCTAAAGATCAGTTAAATTTAGCTCTTCTAGCCTTTTCCTTTGCCAACAATTTCTGCTACTTTCCTGAACTCCCAAATTCAGTAGAATATAAAAGTAACTGCTGGCATTGTTTTGGGAAAGCTTTCATGCTCATGACATCACACACAACTGCCTTATTATGCACCCATAGAATTATCAGCCCATAATCCTGGGTCCACTAAAAATTCACCAAATATTTTACCCTATAATGACAATGTTTTATGGCATCTTTAATAGCAATTTTTATGTGGAAGATACTACAAAGGCCAATTAAATCAATGCCCCCCTGAGTGCAAGATCTATTGGACACATGGCCCTTCAGCATGTATTTCAAAATCTTCCATGAAGGAGATTTCATGTGGCAGCCTGTTCCACTGACTGACAGTTCATACACAATTCTTCCTGATGGCTAGCCTGATATGGCTCCCAGTAGTTTTAACCCATTGGTTCTGTCCTCTGGAGCATTAGACAATAAGTGCAGTCTTTCAACTATGTAACATTCTTCAGGTAGTTGTGTATTGTTGTCATACCTCCTCACACTTGTCTCTTCTTCTATAGGCTAAACATACCCCATTAATTTAATGGTTCCCCATTGGGCTTTGTTTTCAGACCTCTGGCCTTCTCTGGACTTGTTCCAATTTGTCATTGTACTTTTTCAGTTATGATGCCTATGATAAAATTATGATGTCACACAATATTTTCTCCCCTATCTGTGTCTGTATATTTTATCTTGGTCTAGTCTATTTTAATTGGGATTGTCCCATCCTAATATACTAGAGGAGAATATTCAGAACAATCTTATACTATAAGGTCTTTAGCTTTTTGTAAGAATAGAATATGGTCACAGAAAGAAGTTTTTTTCTGATATTAACATCTTGTCTTTGTTTCAGTTCTTGACATTCTGTACTTTGGATGTGATTGAAACTTTATACTTTTCCCCCAAACCGTGGTAACCAGAGCAATATGCCAAACCAAGATTGACATAAGATAAAAGCAAAGAGTGAGGCTTATTTCAACAATTCAGAGTTTTTGACAAAGAAAATCAAAATTTTCAATTTGCTGCATATCTGCTGTATAAAACAGGAATGTTTGTCCATCTGTTCTCTACTTATCTATCCAATTTTATTTGCTATCTTGACTAGATAAATGTTATTGGGTAGTAACATTTGCTGAAGACAAGTAAAATCATAATTCACCCTGGTTCAGATGGAAGTTTAATACTTTGCTCCAGTGTATTATAAAAATGAAAATAACATGTTGAAAAGAATCGCTGGAGAATCAAAAGTTAGCAGAATATAGAATTCCAAACAATACAAGATACTGTTTAAGTCCAGGAAATGTTGGCATTTAAGAATTCACTGGGAAAGAAGCTGTTCTGTGATCTGCTTAAAATGTAAAAACATTGTCTGTTGGTAGGGAATTCTAGAAGATGCTATCCCAATACATTTGGAGAGGTCCGAATTAGTAAAGCTTTTCTTAAATAGTATCGCTCATCACAAACTGTACTTTAATTTTAAATGTAACAATTTCTGCAATCTTGATTGATCAATTTAAAATTGTCTTTGTCAGCCATGGGGAGATTAGCAAAAATGAAGTACGGTAGACATATACAAGCCTGAAACCAGTTCGCATTTTCTATTTTATGGATTAGTTTGGGTCCTGAAGATTTGGGGATACAGTAGTTTAACCTCAGATAATAAAGATTGGGGTAAGGGAATAGTTCTCTTTTGATATGATTGATCTTCTTAATGCTTCCACTGTGTAACTGTGATTAACGAGGCAAAAGAAGCTAGATTTTTATTTTATTTTGTATATTTTTTGCAATATGCCTCCCAAGGACGCATTGGTAGGCACAGATGCAACCTTGCATTCAGTTTTGCTTATGGATCTTCTATAATCTATAGTCATCCTTTTGACTTTTGTAGATACAAAAATTTGGATGAATTGGCATTCAGAATCTTTCTGGGTTTTTATAGCTTATCAACACATAGAAAACCTACTAGGGTCTATTTTTAGGTTTCGTATTTGGATTATCTCAAATAGGGAAGCTATGGCCTAAAGATTGTATGAGATCTTGGATTAACTTGCCCAATTGTGGATCTTTGGGCACTTTTCAGATATTATCCTTCTGTCTAGTTCCAAGGCCTTGGAGTCAGAACTTCACTTACATTTGTTTCTAACCCCGCCCACAAATGGACTGTGGACTACAGCAGAGGTAGAGCTGATTTTAACATGAAAGAGGTTTCCACACAGGTAGAATTTCTGCAAAGGCTTTAATTAATTTTTGTAATTGAAGTTGATTAAAGGTATTATTAATTTTTGATTGGCTTAGGTTTTATTAAGCTGTCCAAAGCTATTATATGAACAGCTCTCACATAAGGACCTTTTCAAAATCTATGCACTTAATTGTGCTATTGGTTTGTATTATTAAGCCATGTGATACAGTGTTCAGATCAGATAATCACCTAATTCTGTAGAAAATATAGTGCCCATACAAGATGTTGAAAGGCATTCTGTCACTTGTAGTATTAATACATCTAGAGGGTGCCAGTTAGGAAAACAATGAAGGAGTGTGTGCCTGAGGGATTGTAAAACTAAAATCATAGAGTTGAAAGGGTCCATTTGGATCATAAAGTCCAACCCTTTGCTCAGTGCAAGAGTCCCAATTAAAGTAAGGTTACTGCTTAACCTCTTTTTGAAAGATCCCTTGGTAACTGGTTTCACTATTGGAACTGTTCTTACTGCTTGGACGTTTTCCCTAACATTGCATGGGAATATGTCTTCTTGTATCTTAATCCTTTATGCCAAATACTGCACTCTGGAGCAATAATGAATGGATTCTGAACCTCTGTGTGATGTTCTTTCAGACATTTGAAGATTGCTACCGTAACCCATCTCCCACCTTCTCCTCTCAGTTCCTTCCGTCTCATCATAGGCCATCATTTCTGCTCCCTTTTTCATCTTTATTGCCTTTTCTATTAAACCTGTTCTACTTTGTCTGAATCCTTTTTAAAACGTGATGCCCCGAATATGAGATATTTATTACTTGAGATGGGATTTGATAAATGCAGGATAAAGTGGAATTATTACTTCTTAAAATATGGAAACTATACATCTGTTTTTGCAGCCTAAAACTTCATTTGCCTTTTGTTGTACCTCCTTAAGAATACTGAATCTTACTCAGTCAATTATTACTCTAAAGTATTTTTCACAGGGACTATTGCCATGTTAGGAATTACCCATTCTACACCCATGTGTTTGATTCCTACTTCCTAAGTGGTAACTTTTCATTTTCTTCATTAAATTCCATTCTTTGACATTCCAGCCTATTTGACTTTCTCTAACCTATAGTATAAAGATTCTAGGATTTTTGTTTTCCCTTCTAATTTAATTCTTTGCAAATTTAATAAGCATTTCCTTTACCTCATCCAAGTATTGAAGAAAAATGTTGAAGAGATTAACCCTTGTGGCACTCCACTTGATACTTTCCTCCTGTTGATGCAAAACTGTTAATGAGCATCCTTTGAGTATGATTTACAGGACACCTAAGTGTTCACTTAATTGTCATACCATTCATCCCACACTAGACCAGTCCTAGAGTAGCACTCTTTTCATGAGATCATGAAAAGCCAGTAGTTGTCTCTTGAACAAGTGCTAGAGAAAATGTTCAATTTGTACTTCAGATGTGCTCCTGAAAATATGGGCTGAGAATGTCTTTTTCCAAAATATTCTTTAAAATATGTATATTTGGCTAGAAGTTCTTAGCAGCTTAGTTCTGAGCAACTCAGGACAAGAAGGAAAAGAACATGAGCTGAATGGCAATTGTGGGGGTTCTTCCTGATGAAAGTGTCCAAATCCTCTTTAACACCTTTGTTACCAAGCCACAAATAGCACTAATATTCCCACTTGGGTGTAGGAATAGTACACTGAATAAATCTTGGCAATTTAGGCTTACATAGCATGTGGCAGCCAGGCTTTGAGGGTGAAGCTGTGAAGTGTGTGGGTAGAAGGTTGTTGGTGAGCAGAGGAGCTGGCTGCCAATGCCATCAGGAGTGGTGAGGCAGCATTTTGGTGCTCAAGCTTTGCCCATAGAAGTGTAGATTGTTTCATAATTTTCTGAAGCCTCTTTTCTCAACCTGGATCCTTGCATGCCAGAGAGTTTAGCTCACTTTTTTTTTTTTTGCTTTAATTTATATGCCGCCTTTCTCCGGAGACTCAGGGCGTCTTACAATGTGTTAAGCAATAGCCTTCATACTTTTGTATATTTATACAAAGTCAGCTTATTGCCCCCACAAACTGGGTCCTCATTTCACCTACCTTAGAAAGGATGGAAGGCTGAGTCAACCTTGAGCCTGGTGAGATTCGAACTTGCAGTAATTGCAAGCAGTTCTTAATAACAGTGCTTAGTCCACTGTACTACAGGCTCTTAATTTTCCCCTGATACTCATCATCTTGGTGGAATTAGTTATAGTAGTGGGACCCAGGTTGAGGACCACAAGCTATCCAAGACTCTTGTGTGAACACAGATGATGGGTATACAGCGGTAGCATAGAATTTGGGTTGCGGATTTGAGCAAGACTGACTTAACTTCTGGGGCTGCTTTAGGTGAGGAAGACAGTGACTGAAGTGTCAGTCAATTAGATAAGTGCCTCTATCTAATTGAGCAAGAAGCTTTCCATTCATCCCTGTATCTGCTTGAAAATGCAGAAAGCATGCTAAGACATGATTTTAACTTATCGTTTGAATAAGCTGCAGAGGTTAGGTTCACACAATGCTCTACAGTATGTTGTAAATGATATGCAGCAGATAAATCCACACACTACAATAATCCAGAATCAAGTGAACCACATACAGTAACTGCATAATGTGGTCCCTGCTGTAATATATTCTTGTTTTGGGAAAGAGGGTGCCTGCGAACTGTGAACTGTGAACTGAATTGCTCACTAGGAAAGTGGTAGCAAATCTAATAGAGCCTCTGCAAATGTAAAACTTGCATATCTCTCTTACACTGACCAGCATTATCTGTTTGTTTGCAGAGAAAGCGTTCCCATCAGCACCGCCATCGGTTCCCCAAAGCCCTAACCTAGCAATGGGAAGAAGTTGGGCTGGGTGCTGGTGTTACTGGTCGTGCCAACCCAAGTATCCAAGAACTTGGGCAGTTGAAGAAAAGAGCAAAGGTCGTGTCTATGAACTTTCCCAGCATTCTCCTTTCCTCCATCGGGCTCCTATAGGGACAAGAACTCCTTCTTCTTCTTCTTCTTCTTCCTCTTCTTCTTCCTCTTCCTCTTCTTCTTCTTCCTCTTCTTCTTCTTCTTCTTCTTCGTGAAAGGCTCAAGAGTTGGTCTTCACATCTGGTGAACCATTTCCATGGCCACAACTGCCAAGGGCTTACAGAAGACTGTGTGACTGAAAGACTGGCAGCACTCAGACGTCGGCTCCCGCCAGCACTGCCCCAGACTGAAGTAGCACCAACGGAAGCATCTGTTCCATAGTGCAGGCCAGGGAGACTGAGAGACACTTATGGCCCCATCGGCATGAATAGGTTGCAAGGAAGGCAGAGACAATTTCACCTGCAGAAGTAAGCCTTTCCTTGCCTCTTTGCAGAAGAGACCTGAGAAAGTGGGATCTTTCTTTCTCTCCAAGCTGGATCTAAGAAGGACTTTAAATTCAGAGTCTGTCAAGAGAAGCCTCTGAGGCCCTGCCCTAATTCCCAGTGTAAAGATGGTGATGTCCCACGGCACCTACACCTTCCTCACCTGCTTCGCCGGCTTTTGGCTTATCTGGGGGCTCATTGTGTTGCTATGTTGCTTCTGCAGCTATCTGCGACGACGTATGAAACGGCGACAGGAGGAGCGGCTGCGGGAACAGCACCTGCGCACTTTGGAAATGGAGCCCTTGCATTATGAGGGCTATGGGGGCCCTGCTTATGGGGGCCCCGCCTATGGGGGAGGTTACATCAGAAGCCCACCAGGCATTCCCGTGCCCCACCGACTCCGCATTGAGCCCCACCACCCTCACCACCTCCCACCCCCAAGGCCCTGGAGCTGTAGGCATGGTAAGAGCCAGAAGATGCCCTTGTGATGACTTGTGCTTGCTTCCTAAGGGGTGAAAAAAGAGGGTAGCCATGCCAGATTCAGAGGGAGGCCAGGAAGAGCTGACACTGACTTGAAGGCATGTAATCCATCAGTTGGTGCAAATATGGGTTTTATGCTGCTGGCTTAAAAGCCCTAAGTTAGCCATGCTTGTCTTTTGTAGTTGATAGATGTAAGACTTCAAAGAGTTAGTCTTCCATAGTCCACCTAATTTCGATTCCTTTCTTGTGGAATGGGAGGGACTCTCGGATAGTTCAAAGGGTTAAATCAGTCTCATGATGCCCCATGTGTGAAGATGCTTCTTGAAGAGGAAAGGTGGATAGGAAGTTCCTAATCCCTTCAGCGCCTCAGATGTTAGAGGATCTTGCTATAAGAAAGTTGAAGGAAGGAGGGGAATCTTCCTCCTGCCACTGTTCCTACTTCATCCAGTATTGCTATATAGAGAGCTTATGACTTGGAATCTCAGTCAGTGGGCATGGTGGTAATGTTGTTACCAATGCAACTGTTGCTTCCACTCAATGGCTGTGATCATTTTGCTTGCAGAGCCAGACCCATCTAAGCCTCCATGCTACGAGGAAGCAGTGCTGATGGCTGAGCCACCACCACCATACAGTGAAGTCCTGACAGACACACGTGGCTTATACCGCAAGATCAACGCTCCCTTCCTGAGCCACGAGCAGCCTGAGAAGCAGGAGCAGCCTCCCAGCTATAAGCCCCTTTTCCTGGATCGGGGCTACGGCTCAGCCCTCCACCTGCCAAGCTCAGCCGGGCAGGGCCCCACCTGCACCAACCTCTACTTGGAGTCGGAGCACTCACAACGTATCTTCCCAAGCTGGACAGACTCTGAACTCAGCACCAGAGACAGCTACGAGCCCGGGCCCTGGCATCTGCCCGTCTCAATGCCTTTATTTGGCAGGACTACGGCAGTGTAGCGTGCCATACTGCGACCTACGTGGGACTCTGGTTGCTGCATGGATCTGAGCAGCCTGTTCCCTTGGTCTGTGGGAGCCACCACGTCCCGTAGCCCAAGCCTTCCAGACATGTCTGGGCCACAGTCTTCACAGCGCAAAGATCCCTGTTGCAACTGACCTCTTTGGCCAGGGCGAGATTGGGGCTGGTCTCCCCGTCTCCCCCACTTCCCTTTCTCTGGGCCCACTACTGGCTCTGTTGGTGCTGACTGTAAGGGGGGCCTCTGGCTTGGCCTAAACTTTGTTAAAACAATCTTTTGTTTGTTACATTTTGACAACAATAAAGTTTGTGGAACCTGATTTATTACAAACCTGGTACTGGCTGCTTGAGTCTGTGCACAAGAAAGGCGGATGTGGTTTCCCTTTAAAGCAATCCACATGTACCATGGTACAAAGTGAAGCAAGCCCTGGCCTCCCACCCAAAAGACCCAGCAGCTTTCCCTCCTCTCTATTCAGTGGTACAGCCTGTTCCGGGACAGCGTTCCTTTATCACCAGCTCCACCTAGTGGTGTGTTCTTTACTTTCATGCAAGGTCGGTCACTGGACAGATGTTTACTACCATCCCTCCGTGCTCCCTTACCACACAAATGCTTGCTTGCCACATGAATTTTAAAAATTGCACAATCCTCCCTCCCCCCAACACTCTTTATAAAGTACATTTCTAACCATTTATGGTAGCGGAGAAAAAGAACGCCACCAGAAATAAAAACAGACAATAGAGTTGCCCTCAATGGTTTTCTGTAGAACTCAGCCAGATTCCTTGGGCCTCTGCAGTTCTTCAGCAATTGCACCCCCACCCCCACACTTCCCCACCCCCTTTTCAATAAAGCCATCCTGGATTTCAAAGCCAGCTGCCCTGCTTGGAATCAATTTATTTATTAACATACATAAGCACATTGCTGTTACAGAATTTGTGCTTTCAAAAAAAACAATTACTGTACGGGAGGGAAAGAAAACGAAGCATGGAATGGACAAGGAAAGAAGAAAGAGAAAGGAGAAGGGTGCCCATCCAGAGTGTCCCCTTGTCCCAGGCTCTCAGGGCAAACAAAGACCTGAGGAGAAGGGTCTGGAACAGGCTCGCTCTCAGACAGAGGGCCACGGAGCTGAGCTGAGCTGTGGGGGGAAAGAACTTCTCTTGCTGCTAACGTTTGCTGGAACCCAGAATGGACAGGGCTTCTGCTTCTCTGGGAACAAGGCCTCTGGGGACCAAGTGGAGAAGGGAAGAGATGGAAGCCAGTGCCTTGCCCACACAGGGCCATTTTATTGCCATATTTTATTTTAAATTCGTGCAAAATACTCAAAACTCTGGCAGAGTCCGAGTGGAGGAAAGGCCCTCCCATCCTCCCCCAAGAGCAGCACACCTCACCCCCATCTCAAGAGATCAACCCAAATGGCATAAATGGCATTGGGACAGGAGGGATCTGAAAAAACCCCATGGGCAAAGGCAACAGGAAAGGGGTCTGCAGGGAAGCTACCAACAAAGAGGGGACCAGGCAGATTTACACATTTCCTATTTGACACCATTAGAAAAAGAGAGAGAAAGAGAAAGAGAGAGAGAGAGAGAGAAAGAGAGAGAGAGAAAGAGCGCGCACTGGAAAAAGTTATCTCCCCTCCCAGATTTTTCTATCTGGCCGGGGTACAATCTGAGGCCATGGACCGCAGGGCTACAATATGGAGCAAGGGGGCACCAGGCCCTCACTGCGGCTGCTCCAGGCTTGCAGACACTGGACTTGCTAGGTGCAGGGTTGAGGTGTTTGGCCTGAGAGTCAGCCTTAAACGCTGCCCCCAAAGCTCTCCTCATCTTCTGGCACTGGGTCAGCATCCCAACAGGTGATGTCAATCTCTGAGGGAAAAGAAAGAAGAAGAAGAAACAAACAAACAAACAAAAAAAAGATTAGCTGCAAGCAGGGCTGGCTGTTTGCCTTCTCCAAGGAAATCACTAATGCTTCTATTTCAGGAATCCCAAGGGGAGCCCATTTTATGCCTCGACAGAAGGTTAAAAGTGTGTTCAGGCATTAAGAATGTCTGACTGAGCAGGCTACAATGGAGATGCATCCACCAGATCCACCTCTTCATTCCCTCTGTTGATGGGAAAGCCTGAAGGACAGGCTGGTGGTCACGACTGAATGAAGTAACCATGATCCACGTGATAGGACGGCATCCCCCAGTCACATGAAATCCTGTTTTCATGTCTGGCCTAACTGTTCTGATGTTCCCTGTCTATTAGAACAATATGACCATGCAAGGCCCACGTGCATCTGTTTATATTGCCCTCACAATTAGCCCCTCTTAGAATCGCAGAGCTGTAAAGTACCACAGGGGTTATCTAGTTCAAACTAGATAAACTAAAGCATATTTGGGAACTGACCTCCACCTCAACCAAGAGACAACTCATCACATCAGGCTGCAGCCTATTCCACTGGCTGACAGCTTCTACAGTCAGGAATTCTTCCTTATCTCTAGCCTCAACCTTGTAATTTTACTTCATGCTGGCTGGGGAATTCTGGGATTTGAAATCCACACATCTTAACATTGCCAAGTCTAAAAAACACCAGTCTAGATTCTATGTTCTCCCCGTCAATTCAATTCAGGATAGCTGTTTATCCAGCAGAGTTGGAAGGGACCTTGGAGGTCTTCTAGTCCAACCCCCTGCTCAGGCAGGAAACCCTATACCATGTCAGACAAATGGTTGTCCAATCTCTTCTTAAAAACTTCCAGTGTTTCACGCTGGTGGCTCATGCTTAACTTGGGGTTGACAAGGACATCCAGATTCATTTCGTAGGCACCACTGCCAAGCAAGGTCTGCCAGAGTTTATATTTGTACCTTACTTTTTTTTTTCTATCAAATGCAGAATTTTATATTTCTCCGATTTAAATTAATTTCTTGTTTTTTGTTATGGAATGGATTTCTCTAAGACCACCTATCAATCTCAGAGCCTACCTGGGGGCTTATTGTAGAACACTGGAGGAGGAGCTTTAGCAGAGAGTTCTTCTGATTGGTTAAAATCTTCATCTTGTGATTGGCTAAAATAGCCCTCGCTGGTCTGGAAGAGAAAATCAAATTGTTGCATTTGCTTTCCTTTGAAAGATGTTCACAGTGTCTATTTCCAATTTATGAATACAGAATAACCATCATCTGTGCTTGCCTACTCCACCTCATTACAATTTGCACAAAAGGTTGCTATTCATTAACATGCATTTGAAAATAGGGGAAGGCCCATCTTTTCACAACTCTCATTGTACAAAAATGTTGTAAAAAAAAATCACCAAAGATTAATTAATCCACATGAATGGAACAAACACTATTTAAGACTGCATATGGAATTCATCCGTCTTTTCATTCATTTACAGGAAAGGAAACTCTAGGTATCACTTCTCCAGGAGCAAGGTTAGCAAATACTTCAAGTTCAGAGAAAATGCTAAATTTAAACCCAAACTAACAAAACCCACTGATTTTCTTTGTATATCATTCTATGCTTCAATCATACCCTGGCATAATATGATGGCCTGGTTTACACAGTAAGTTAAGACAACAGCTGGGTTGTCACCGTGCTCTCAACCACAAGCCACTCCAACTCGTTTCAGCTAAGCCTGGTGTGAATCCTATCTGTGAAAGTGTGCTACAGGAAGCCGTGATATAGTAGCATCACATGTGAGCTTTGTCCTACTTCCAAAGGCCGGCACAGGGATTGCAAAATTGTTTTGAAGCCTTGTCAGCCTTACCTGCGTGCTTTCCTTTTGGGCAGTCTCCCCATTGGTGAGCAGTTGGGGCTCCTGGTGCACCCCGGAGGCTTCCTGCAGGGCATGCTGGTAGCTGAGTGTCATCTGATGCAGCCCTTCAACAGCAATAATGCTTGCTGGCTCTTCGTCCTGATCTGCATCACAGAAAGTTGCTGGGGGCTCAGGCAGGTCGTTGAAGTTCAAGAGGTTATCTTCAGGAAGGCCTGCAGAAGATGGGGGCTCTGGTGCCCCTGGAGGGACATCCACCTCAACCAGCATGGGGGCAGGCATGGGAGGCCCATCACGAAGATCCCACGGGGCTGGAGTGGGAGGTCCACCCTGCTGGAGCTCCCAGGCATCAGGAGGGTTGGGTTCCGCGACGGTGCTGTCATTCTGCCACAGGTCAAGAATGTTCTCAGAGGGGGGTGCAGGCGGTTGTGAAAAACCAAAGGCCTCCCCCAGATCTAAAGCATCCTCACTCTGCACAGGGACCGGGGCTGCTGGGAACTGAGGCTCTTCTTTGGGAGGCGGGGCTACTGGGAAGAGAGGCTCTTCTTTGGACTCCGGGAGCACCACGTCTTCAACAGGGTCAGTCCCACTTTGCTGTGGTTCTGTCCAGTCAGGGCCTTGCCAGGCTGTAGCCCCAGGAGGCTCTTCTGCTTTCTCCACTGGTTGTTCTTCACTGGGGGGAGCCCAGTTCGTAGCAGATGCCATGCCTGTCTCTTCACTGCTCGGGCTGGAGGAGTCTGCAAGAGGGAGGAAGCGAGAGGGGGTGTTTGGAGGGTGGCACAGGGCTGGGCCTCTGTGAACTGGACAGAATGCAAAGATAACCAACGTCCTGCTAATTCGTCTGGGAACAGAGACAACACTGACTGTGGAGACAGGAGCAGCGCCTACCTTTTAAAGCATCCTGTTGCGTCACCTCATCCAGGGCACGCTCAATCTGCTCACCCACTGGCGTGGAAGCCGTACTGGAGTCACAGGGGCTACTAGCAGAGGCAGAGGCCTTTCTGTGTGTTTCCGTCTGGCTGCCTGTGAATGAGCCACATAGGCACTCAAGAGGGAGCGGACAAGGCAAAAGCCACAAGTCCCTGAGGCACAGGGCCCCCCCAAGTGCCTACAGAAAAGATGTGGCACCTTCACTTGAAACCAAAAGAGTAATATGATCTAACAGCATCTCCAAAAATACATGATTTCATAGCCAAGAATAGAAACCCAGGGTCCTCCCAGTATCTCTCTTTCTCTTCCTCCAAGAACAGTTGCAGCGCAAGGCCATCCTCCCTTTCTTTTCACTGACAAACATGCTGGAATGTGGAGTAGTGAACCCCCCTGCATTTCCTGCTTTTGATGGGGCCGGAGGACAAAAAGCAGAGGTAGCCCCGGAATCATAGAACAATAGAAAAGGGCCTGATTCAAGAAAATGCAAGGCTGCAGCTGCAGGCTTTCCTGCTGCCAAATGACATTTGGAAGTAACAGGCTGCATCCACCCCTCTTTTAGCTATCTTCGGAAGCACAGCCCACAGCAAGCCATAGGATCAGACAGTTGTGCCAGATTCTCAGGGTCCCCAAACCACACATGGGCAGCCGATTAAGCCGAGAATGCCACCCGTGGCTTTTCCCCACCAACACAATCTATACAGGGAATCCTCCTCCCCTCCACCCCCAAACAGACATGCTGTGTGTAAATGCTGCCGGGCTTCACATGCGGGTGGCTTTAGCTTCCAGCAAATGAAATTTACATCAAAAGCTTAAACGATGGTTGCCCCAGGTGGTTTTAATACTTTGGCCTGGGAACCAATGCTTGGATGTAGGAGTGTTCCTGAAGAAACCCATGTGCCAAGATTGCATTAATGGGGAAGGAGGGCAAATGAATGGAGAAACTCTCTGAGGATTGTTACTGTGGAAACCTCATTCAAGACCTCACTCTTCCCAGCACCGTTGCTTTCATCTGAAGCGAGGAGGCGCTGCTTTCCTGTGACGGTGTGATGCTGGGGAACTGGTTTTGACCAGGGTAGGACCTCCCTCTCCCCTTCCTTGCTAACGTTTTAGAAGCTTTTAAATGCCAAGTTGTCCCGGAGAGCCTTCCCCTGATTCTGTCAAGACATCTCAAGTTTTATTCTTGATAGTTTTGGTTTGGGCGAGATTGTCTTCTTGTTTTTAATGGCATCTGCTTTTATGTTCAGTTTTATACTTTATGTAAGCCACTGAAAGTCCCTGAAATTGTGACAGAACAGAAATGGGAAATAAATTCATAAATTGGGGTCTATAGTTCGGTGACGATGCATGCAGCCGGTTCACAAGCAGGATGCCAAAAGAAGAGCCAATCCCTGAGCTTTCGTGAGCCAGTCTCTGATGAATGGTTACTGGCTCCTGTTCCTGCTTTCAGAGGTGAGATGAGATGGGACATGGCAAAAGAAAAAAAAGAAAAAGAAAAAAAAAGCCTCTGGGGGTCTATCAAAGCCCCTTTAGGAGCCACCTCTGCAAACCAACTTCCCAAAGCCCAGCCGGGATCTGGCTACCTACATGGGAAGAAGGAAGAGAGGTTTGGTGTGCGGTGGCAAGTGATATAGGGGAAGGGAGTCCGTGGAGGGGAGGAAGAGGAAGAGGAAGAAGAAGGCGGCCCACTGTCAGGTGTCTTTATGAAAGGACAGTGCAGACGACCTGCTGAGAGAAAGACAGACAGACGGACGAAGACAAAGAAAGCAGAAGAGAACAGTCAGTCTTCCCTCCAGCAGCCCACTCCATTACCCACCCCCCCTTCTCCTGCCACTGGGCGGTCCATACTCAAGTCCAGGGCCAGATAGCAGGGAAAGAAGGCAAGTCCCTGAGAAGCCAAAAAGAATGAGAGGACACTGCCAGGGGCAGTGCAGGAGGAAATGGGAAGCAAAGTCGGGGACTATGGAACGGGAGGGCCAAGACAGATCAGCGTGAAGGGTTTGAGCAGCTATGCAGGAAGGTTGAGGGAAGAAAAGAGAGAGCCAAGAGGCAGGAGATGTCGGTAGTGATGGGAAATGAATCTGTACTTGAAATAACTGTATCTGAGTCCCCAAAGAGCCAACCAAGCAGACAGTATGGAGGTCCAAAACGTAAGGCATAATGCAGAAGATTTCAGAAAGTATAGCTGTTGACTTACTGCAGATAGGGACAGAAGTGGTTGGCCAGCTCTTGGGGGTCAACCCAAAAGGAGACAGAATAAGTCACAGTAGAGGTGCATCAAAGGATCAGTAGACTAACAATGGCTGCCCTGAGCTGCCTACCTCCCATTTCTTGCAGGAGCAGCTCAGGAGATTGTAACATGCATTAAGGCTATTGGCCATCCCAGATCATCTATCTGACTTCATTAAAAACCTTCAGTTTAGCTCCTCCTCTCAAAGACTGCATCTGTGTCCTAAGCAGCAGATCTAGCTTGCTTGCGGAAAAGGATACTCTCTGCTGGTCCTGCACCTCTTATCCAATTACAGCCTTCACACACATCCCACTGCCACCCACATCACATTGTGAAAAACTGATTCTCCCAGAAGCCAAGATGGCCCCACCCACTGTCTCCAGGAAGTGACAAAGATCATTTTATTTAGTCATTCGAAACTTAAGTTAAGAGACTTCTCAGGAAACAACAACTGAATGAAAAACTGCTGGTGACCTTCTACCATTGCACTATAGAGAGTATTTTAACTTACTGCACCTGTGTATAGTTTGCCAATTGCACAGTGGCAGATAGGATAGCGCTCTAGAGGGTTAACATCATTGCCCAGAGGATCATTGCTTGCCCTCTCCCCTCCTTGGAAGAGCTTTATAGCGCCCGCTGCCTTAAGAAAGTTCAAAATATTCTTAAAAGATCCATCTCATGCTAGGCACCCTTTTTTTGAACTATTACCATCTGGCAGGCGGTACAGGACAATAAAAAAAAGGACCAATAGGCTGAAAAATAGCCTACTGAGCCTTACTCAGAGCAGTAACTATATTGAATTCTACTGTATAGAGCAATATTAATGCAATATCAGGGGTTTTCAATTCAGTTGTATAGAATGTGAAGGATGTGTGTTTTTTTTTTATTTTATATGTATAATCTACACTGAAAATGGCATTTAATATCGTTGTATGAGGTGCAATGACAATAAAGCAAACTAAACTAAGTGCCTTTTGAATAGTTTGCTAAACAATTTGATTTTCATTGTACAAGGATAGTGATATGAACTTAGATTTTATTTGATCTTATATATTATTGTTTTGGGACCACCTGGAGTCTGGTGATAGGAGAAGTATTTAAATATTAGAATAAATAAAGCAATGTTTTTCATCCCTCATCATGCTTCCCGTACTATCCATGATCGAAAGTGCAAATGCTTTGCAACATGAATATGTTGTGCCTCTGAACAAAAGAAACTGAGCAAGTAGGTAAAAAAATGTTGTGACATCATGATATAAACTCTTCCCCTTGTTCACTGGGTGCAATATAGTGATGTATTGTGATGTCAAACACATATTTTGTCATTCTGGGGTCACTTTGGTTAGGAATGGAGGCCTATGCATGTACACATTCCAAATTTCAAAATCAATGCACATACATATCAAATTCTATGGAATAACTGGATTCAATCATATTCTGTGAGTTTGAGTTTCAAAACCTGTTTATATGTTAAATGGAATGGTGTCCTTCTATTTGTAGTAGACGGTATCCCATTTTTTAAAGTCAGCTTTGTTATAAGGTGCTGGCTTAATGTGCTTTCCTGTATCAAAAAAAGCAACCACCACCCAGCTTGTCTTTTTCTGCCACAATCGTTCTCTGCCTAGATTCTCCCAGTGGCAGAAGTTGCCAAGGTCTCTGGATATTCAATGGGCTTTAAACATCAGTGTGCATTTTCTCACTTTCCAGGGCAAAGACCACCTAAGTATTGACAATAAGCTCCCAAACCCTCATTGCCACGTTTCTATGGTTATTATGTCCCTTGAAAGCCACTGTTGCATTTTTTGCTTTCTCTTTCCATCCAGAGCAGGAGACCTTGAAATCTGCCTACCTGTTCTGTTGAAGGGTGAGGGTGTCTCAGAGCTGGCCGAAGCCACTCGTTCTTGCTGCCGGAAGAACTCCCGAGGGTTCTCAGGCCGCTGAGCAATAATGGCAGCTGCCTCCTACCAGGAAGCGAGGGGAAGGGAAGAGAGACAAGGGTCAAGCACAGCACAGCCTTTCAGATACCCACTGCCTTAAATACAGACTGAACTCTCTGCCCCATCCTTTCCATGCAGTATAGCCAGGTCAAGAGTGACAAAAGTAGACACGTGCCACGCATATGCAATGTGCCCCCATGCCCCTCCAGCAGGAACAATGGCACAGAGTGACATCAAGAGGAACAGCACGACAAACTGGCTTCCAGCGAAATGAATACGAAGCACGCACACACACACACACACACACACACGTTGCTTCCCCCAAGATAAAACTCAGGCCCAACCCTGCTGCTTAAGCACAGACTCCATTCATCGACATACAACTCCAGCTAGGTCACAGCCATCAAACTGAAGCCTACCTTTCCCTGCTGAACCTTTGCACACAATGCCACAACCTCATGCAGCAGTACCCTAGTAGGGTGCAAGGGGAGTCCTTTGCCTAGACAATGCATGCTGTGCCCCGGGGCCGCACTCACCTCCACCTCCGACTCAGACTTTTTGGGCTGCTGCCTGTCTTCATCGTCCTCCTGCTCCCCCTAGGGAGAGAGGTCAGCGTCAGCCCCAGGGCACCTCAACCACACCAAAAAGCCCTACTTATGCCCTGACCTAGCATTAAGCTGGAGCAAGGGAGAGCCCCTGGGAAGAATGTCCTCTCCCTGGCTGCAGAATCAGTCCCCAAAGTCCCCAGCCAGCCTTGGTGCTCCATTCTTCCTCCGGCCAAGATCCTGGGTGGGGAGCCGGCTGCACAACTAGGCAACCTTCCCCCAGCTCCTGAAGCTTCACTTACAAAGATGGATTGCTCCTTCAATCGCTGCTTGGCTTCTTCTGCTTCCAGGGTCTGCTGCTTTCGCCTAGTGGTAAAGGAAAGATGGACATTTGCGACACTGACTCAAGCATCCTAGGCAGAGTTGATAGGCTATTTTGAGTTTCCTAACATTAAATTTGATGTCCACAATTCAGTATTCTCATCCATCCAGAGGCCACGGAGAGCATTTCACGCTCTGGGATTTATTTATTTTTATCAAACCTGTTATTGCGTCGTCTTTCAGTGTTCATTAACAGGTCCAAATGTTTCATTTGTCCATTCTAAAACTGGCTTTGCATCTCTGTTTTCTGGCAATAACCCTTTGCAGCTGAGGGAGGAGGCACAAATGTAATGATTTATTTGGCAGCAAGAATTAAAGGGGGCAATGACGATCATAATGATGTCATCACCAAAGGGGATGGAGAATTTCCAGCCCATTTTTCCCCCCAAATTTGTGGAAACTCTGAGGATAGTTGGTTTGTAAAAATGTTTTAAGTTCCTGCCAGAATTCAGTAGAAAATTATACAGACTCTTATTCAGAGCTTAGAAATTATAAACATCCTTTAACCTGTGGATTGCTTACATCCATTGTACCCTGAAGGATCCAAAGCAAAAAAACATTGCTGCCATATTATAGTCTAGGTTTAGTTCTAGGTTTAGAAAAATTGTTTTGCAAGAACATTATATTTCAATTCTCAACTTACCTTAATACCTTCTTTTAAAATTGCTGTTTATCTGAATGTTGTTTCTGTGTATAGTATTACATTTTATAATTCAGACTATTATTTTGTTTTTTGAAAAGCAACTGTTTCATATTTATTGTTTAATTTTGTATCCTAATGCCTGCTTGAAAGTTAACCAGTCTTCACTATTTCATGCAAATTATGAAGGATTATTCTTTTAATTTAATTCTTCCTAAGCCTTCAGATATAACAATAGCAATATCACTTAGATTTATATACCATTTCACAGTGCTTTACAGCTCTCTCTAAACGGTTTACAGAGCCAACATATTTTCCCCAATAATCTGGGTCCTCATTTTACCAATCTCAGAAGGATGGAAGGCCGAGTCAACTTTGAGCCGGTCAGGGTCGAACTGCTGGCAGTCGGCAGAATTAGCCTGCAATACTGCACTCTAACCACTGCGCCACCATGCTCTTAGATATATTAATCTATATTAAGCTACAGATAGTCCTTGAGTTACAATCGCAATTGGGACCAGAATTTCTATTGCTAAGCAAGGCATTTGTTAGGTGAATTGTGCTTGATTTTACAACTTTTGCCACAGTTGTTAGGCAAATCATTGTGGTCGTTAAGTGAATCATGTAGTTGTTAAGCGAATCTGGCTTCCCTCATTGATTTTGCTGGTTGGAAGTCGGCTGCAAAGGTCACAAATGGCGATCACATGACCCTGGGACATTGCAGCCACTGTAAATACACACCAGTTGCCAAGCACCTGAATTTCCATGATGTGACCATGGGAATGCTGCAACTGTTATAAGTGTGAGGATTGTAAGTCACTTTTTCAGTGTTGTTCTAAGTTCAGATGGTTAAACAATGGTTCTCAGTCAAGTACCTGTATGAAGATCATCCCCTGGAATACAGATCTGGGTTGCGGTCAAGCAACCTCCATTAAAATTCCTTGACTTTCACCCATATGAACATAAACTTATTTGTTGCTGATACTTTTAAGTTTTAACTGACCATAAGCACATCTTCTTTGAAGTAAGACCTACAGAGCTGAAGTTTGCAGTTTCTTGACATTGAGTGATTAGAAATGCCATTTTTGCATGTAGATAGAGTCTCATAAGAGTGGCAAAAATGCTTTTGATTCTGGGAAGTTGTGGAATGTGCATAATTTCTTACATACCTAAATTCAAAACCACAAACCCTTATACGATTTTTTTGGTAGATGGTTCCTACTGCCTGCCTCCCACTGCAAAATTAAGCAGAGGGTACAAAAATTGTCTCTTTTTTAACATCCCTTCTCTCTCATTTACTAAAAGAGGGGCTACCTTAAACATAGGGATCAAAGGCAAACAGAAGCACTGCATGAATCATCTTTGTAAATAATGACTGCTATAATAATAAAAAAGACACTTCTCATATGAAGAATAAGCCAAATGATAGAATCTCTCCCCCAGCCCAATTAGCTCAGCCAGCTTTATAAACATTCAAATCTAATTTTGTTAAGTCATACCTTAACTAGGTATTGTCAGCATTCTGATGCTGCCATAAAAAGGAGGAGACGAGGCTTGACTTTTCACCTACTTATTTTCTCTGTAGATAATATCCCCTAGGAGATGGGATGGGAGGGGGGCATTCCTGTGGGCTGAGGTCAGAAGCTGGGGAGACTGACTTGGAAGATGGCCAATGAGAAGATGAGAATTGGGGAATGGAAAGGGTTTGGGAGTCAGAGGGTTAGTATCGGCTACAACGAAGTCGGGGCCAGATCTGTCGTACTCAATAAATGGAATATTTCAGCAAAGATTAATTGTTTGGGAGTGCAATTTATTTGAGATGACATCGAAACCTGACAGGTATCTTAACTAGAACAATGTTTCACAATCACCATGCTCCGTGGTGGCACAGTGGTTAGAATGCAGTATTGCAGGCTAATTCTGCTGACTGCCAGGGGTTCAGTCCTCACCAGGCTCAAGGTTGACTCAACCTTCCATCCTTTCAAAGCCAGTAAAATGAGGACCCAGATTGTTGGGGGCAATATGCTGACTCTGTAAACTGCTTAGAGAGGACCATAAAGCACTGTGAAGTGGTATTGCTACCTTAACAATTTTTAAAAATGTGGATTTCAACTTCCAGAATTCCCCTGCCACAATTCTTTGAAAGAATTGGTCTACCCATCTTAAAGATGCCAAGGCTGAGAAACACTTCTCAAGAAGAAAACTGGCAATACTTCTTGAGATCACAAACCTCTTCTCCATTGATCAGTTATCTAACAACCTGTGTGAGTTGAGTCGAGTAGCTCAACACTGTTGGGAAGGTATGTTTTCTGCTGGCAGGGTTTAGCAGTGAGTTCTGTGCAAATAGTCCTCATTTAGTGACTACATTTGGAACTGGCAACTCAGTCGTTAAGTGAAGTGGTCACTAAGTAAAACCATGACTATGCTTACAATCTTACTACTGCTTTCCTTTGCTTTGCAGATCTGTGGAGATCATAAATGTGAGGATTGGTTGCAAAGTTACTTTATCACTATCTTAACCGCGAACAGGTCCCAACCAAGGTAGTCACTAAATGAGAACTTCCATGCTTTTGTAGCCATTCTTTGTTTTCAGTAATTCTCCCCCCCCAAAAAAACACAACGGATAGGGTTTTGATAATCTTCCAACACAGCTGATTGACTTAGTGTAACCTGTCCATATGGGGGTAAGTTTTGAGCTGAATGGACTCCAGCTAACTGGAGTCAATTAACTGCAGATTGTTCTTGCAACAAACTATATTCTTCCAACTGGCCCATTTAAGCATATGAAAGGAATGGGACCACAGATAGCTTATAACAAGTGGAAAGGTGTTTTTTTTTAAATCAATCTGATTGCTAGGATAACCCTGCAGAGCTACCACAAACTACTGTATAAGTAGCATTTTATCTGTCTCTGTCATTGTCTATCTATCTATATTTTAGCCTGCCCCAATCCTAATGGATCTTGAGCAGGGAATGGCAAAACAAAAATAATAATATATAAACACACAAGGCAATTAAAAACCATATACTCACAGGCACCCAAGATCCAAAATCAGTTTGAATAATATTACTTTAACTTGTTAATGAACTATAAAAAGAGTTGGGGCCACATGTAGTTTCAGGATGAGAGCATTCTGTGACATATTGTCTCCCACTGAGAATGTCACTCACGGAGGTGCCTTGCCTATTAATAGAGGAGGGGGTCCCTCAGCAGACCCTCTGGGGACAATGGGACAGCTGGACAATTTTGATTCTAGTGGGGACATTTCCTGATGCACCTCAGAGCTGCTTAATCAATCAAGCCACCAGTTAGGCCTTTCGGGCTTCCCATTAAAAATGCAGAGAGAGATTATGCTCTAGTCTAGTGCACAGCCAACAGATTTCTGTAAGTGCTCACTTCAGGGCACAATCAGGAAAAAAAGGAGCTGCCTTTTCTAGTTGTCATATGTTTCCAAGAGACCGAAGAGTGCCATAAAGCACAGTCTGAAAAATTATGTATGGATTGAGGAGGCTGAAATCCCCACTTTCAAAAACCAATTGGGAGGCCTATAGGCAGTCACTGTATCTCAGTCTAATCAACCCACAGGCATGCTGGGAGAATGAATTCCTTGAAATGTTTTTTATTATTATAATAAATAAAACAAGTTATAGCTTGCTCAACAATTCAATACACACACGGCAAAAGGCCAATCAGTTAGGGAATGAAACAAGTTTTTGTAAGCTATTCAAAGCCCTTTTTGATGGGCAGCAGCACTTGAACCTGGGGCTTTCCGTTGTCAAAACGTAGCCTGTACCCTTGAATTCCTGTGCGGCCTTTTCCCAGTACTGAAGAAACATGTAAGAATCTAGCTGCAGCATGTTCATTAAAATTAGATCGATGCAGGCAGAACATTGAGACACAACTTGGACACACCGAGGACAAGCCAAACAGAAGGAAAAGCAACTGGGCAAGCAATGAGACAAGACAATTTTTACTTCTAATAATATGAAAATGTGTCGAAGAAACATCCTTGTATTTCTACATAACATCAATGACGCCTCCCAAAGAGAGGTAGAACTATAACTTCACCCTAGGAGACCAGCAATCTCTTCTCAAAGAAAATCAATCAGACCATGAAAAACATGACATAACCACGATCGGCAAAAAACAAAAAAACAAAAATAACAGGAGTATATAAAATTCTAAACCTAACACGTCAAAGAATAATGGACAAAATTACAGCTGCTCATAAATGCCACCGTCTGTGGGAAGAAGCAGCTTTTGTCTCAGTTGGAGAATGCCATAGATCTGGCTATTGCTTCTCCCACTCACTATTACTACTACTATCAGCACCCCCAACCTCCTCCTCCTAGTCCCTCCCTTGCCTATGCTCCTCGATCTGCTCTTCACGCTCCCGGTAGCGCTTCTCACGCTCCTCTTGCTCCTGCCTCTCCTGCTCCATGCGCTCTTGCTCAAAACGCAGCCGCTCGTCCAGGGCTTTCTTCCGCTCTTCTTCTTTGCGTAGCTCTTCCTCTTTCTGCAAAGGAAGAAACAGGGATGGTCAATGCCAACTCTACTCATGACATGCCTCCCATCACACAGTAGAGGTGATCAAAGGAAGCCAGGACTGACCGTGTGTTTTGTGCAGGTCAAGAGGCATATTGGCACCCACACATACAGTATGTGTGTCTCAGCCTGAGCTATGTAGAACAGGGGTGTCAAACACAAGGCCCGCAGGCCGGATCCGGCCTGTGATGTGGTTGGATATGGCCTGCGGGGCCATCCTCGAAAATGTAAGGGGCTGGCCTGGTCTACCCAATGTGAAGAGGAAACATCGGGCCAGTGTGGCTTCGGCCTAGTCTACCCAATGCAAAGAGGAAACAGCAGTTTGGGGAGTGGTGTCAAGCTGGCCATGTCCATCCAGTTGGCCACACCGAGTGTCATCAAGCTGGCCACACCCACCCAGTAGGCCACGCCCAGTGAGTGGCGTCAAGCTGGCCATGCCCACCCAGTCAGCCACGCTCACCCAGTCAGCCACGCCCATCTGGCCCCCCAAGGTCAACCACAACCCTGATGCGGCCCTCAATGAAATTGAATTTGACATCCCTGATGTAGAAGAAGGATGACCAACCTTAGCCTGCTCCCAGAACTGCTCCCGGTTGAGGCGTTTCATCTCCACAGCTGCATCCGTCTTCTGATAGACTGTGCCCTAGAATTCAGAAATCGGTCAGAGAAGGCTCATTGGGACATGTGTGTTTGTATTCTAGGTTTGCTGTCCCCCTTAAAAAACAACCATCTTTTCTTACTAGAGTGCATGTCACCTTAATGGAATGATTTCTTCCATTGTGCATGATCATAATTGCATGGGAATAGCTGCCTAGACATTTCCATATAACTTCCTCTGAAGGAATAGTAACAAAAGATAAACCCCAAGAACTGTATTGTCACTCTTAAAAATGAAATGTTTTGTCCTTGAGACCCAGAAATAAGCTGGGATCCTGTTGTTTCTGTTCCTATCCCAACAGCAAAAAAAGGAAACTAATATGAGGTTGGCTGAGTGAAGAGTGTAAAAGAAGCATTACCACAGGCTGGGCATTCTCATCCTCGCGCAGGCGAAGGCGGTGCAGCACTGGGCTGGCAATGCGCGCCAAGCCATTGGAGAGTCGCTGACCAATAGCTCCCGGGTCTATGTCTTCCACACTGCTAGCATTGACAATTACATCCACACCCTGTCAAAGGAGGCATTAAAATCACAAAAAAGTATTCAGGATCAGCTTTTCTGAGACAAGACATGGCCACCCCAGACTCACCATGTGGAACTGGGCCCACTTTCAAATAGTTCATTATCAACACATTTTAGGGGAAGACCATCTTTAAATTATTATTTATTACTTATCCTTCTTAGTCTTATTATTACTTATGTATTGCCTAGGAGTTATCTGTTGGGGTGTTCATGATAGGTAGGATTGAAGCAAACTGTGATTGGGACCATACCTAAATAATTAATTCTTTAATTTCCCTCTTTTTTCCCTTCCTGACATCCTTATTTTTCTTGCATTCTGTTTGTATCACTTTCTTTTCTCTGCAACCAACAACCTGCCCCATAAGAGGCAGCGTGGAAAGACATTTTTTAAAGGCTGAAATTAAGTTACAAGTTACATTTATTTCTAGAGCAATAGGATGCCCTGTTCTATCTTTTATAGAGTAAATATCATACTTTTGTGGAGTCCAAAAGCATGATATTACACTATATGTAAAATGGCTATTATCTCAACGTTTTGGATACAACAGAAGTTTAATTATTGATTTATTCTATTTACATCCCATCTTTTCTCTAAGAGCTCAGAGCAGCTTATAGGAGATTATCTCCTAATTTTATTTTCACAGCAACAATGCGGCGAGATAGACTGAGCTGAGAGAGAGAGTGACCAGACCAATTTCATCCATATGGCTCTCCCCAGTCCAGGTCCAACTCTTAAGCATTAACCTGCTCTGCCTCTCATTTCCACCTGCATGTTCCATTCACATAACTTCTCACCTACCTGGAAGAACTCTGCAATTTTGGCCACGTGGCTAGCACAGGCACACTTGCGGGCATCAGCTACATCCTCTCCAACCTGCCAAGAATAAAAGGAAAGAATGATAGGGAAGATTAATGTTGAGAAATTTCATTCATTGCACTGAAAGTAGCAGGCATGTTCCTCATGTACCCACAGGGTCTCCAGAAAAATTAACAGAAACAAAGATGGCACCAGACCAGAAGGAAACCAGTAAAGTTTCTTAGGTTTCAGAAATGAAAGGTATTCCAGACATACATTTGGGCCAGCAACAAGAGATGTGATACTTAGACAAAAGCCATATCATTCTGCTAGCAATGTAGAAAAGCAATGCCCCTCTCCTTCTGACCTCTCTTAAATTCTATGGATGCCAAGGTGTTCCCCTCATTTGATGTGATCCTATTGCCCTGATCTTTAGTAAATATAATTTTCAATAAATGGGAAGCAAAGCAAAGCATCATGCATACATTTCTAAGGATATATCCCAAGGAGTCCCAAAGATGCTTTTTCAAAAGGCAAATGGGCTTTGTTTTTCCTGAAAGACCTTTTGCTTCTCATTAAAAAGCTTCTTCAGTTCTAACAGAAGCTTCTTGGATGAGAAACGAAACATCTTCAAGGAAAAATGAAGTCCAGATGCCTTTTGAAAAAGCACTTTTGGGATAATCTGGGTGACTGAGAATCTTCCATAGACAAACTCTTGAGATATTCTTAGAAATTTTTTTTAAAAAATGGATGGCTGCAATCTAAAGCATTGTGTGAATGTTTGCCCACCCGGGGAAAAAAAGTTTTCAAGGATAAGCAGAGAAGTGAGAGGAATGGGGAAGAACAGTCTCACCAGTTCTGTGACCGCCCCCACCCCCCGCCCCCATGACTATCATGAGAGCCATTTTATGTTATAGTCTCCCACTTTTGAAATTCCAGATGTGCCTACCAGCACAAATAGGGGGTGGATCTCCATGGGGACTCTCATAGCAACAACATCTGGAAAAAGGAAGCTGGAACTTAGAGTCAACATAGCTTCTATTGCTTTATATTAAATCCTCTCATAGTGGAGGAGTGGACAAGCTCTTCCTAGGGCATGTTGTTCATCCCCTTTTCACTTTCTAAATTAAGATAACAATTTGCAGCTCTTAATCAAAAAGCAAGGCATTTATAGGAAGGTCTGCTGCTCAGCAGTATCCAACCATGTGATATCCAGGAAAATGCCATCACCCCCAGGCAGTCAAACAGACATGGTTGCACTTCACAAATACACTCAGCTGTTTCTTTGCCATCTCAATTACTGCAAAACACCGAGGGATATCCTTTAAGTGTATTCCTCAAACAGTTTTCTCTAGCTTGGCATCCTCAAATGTATTCCATATAACTCCCATCGTTTCCAAGCAGCACAGCTCTAGCTATTTTGGTTGGTGGTAATTATAGTTATAATTCAACACATTTGGAGGGTAATAATCTGGGGGAGGTAATCCTTGAGAGAGTGGACACAGCAGCAGGAAACTGGTATTCAGGATTCCTAGGCCTCTCCTGAATAATGGGAAAACAGCACTGCCTTCTTTGTAATTGCCAAGTATATTCCTACCAAGAATTCACTTATTTTAAAAAATATGCAAGCTATTTTCTCCCTGAAGAATATTGTGTATAAACATTTCCATTAGCTAAGGTCTGAGTTAAGTGCTGAAAATATAGGTTAAAAACTAGGGAGTGATGAAGGAAAGAAAGACAGTATGGTATTGTGAGAATGGGCGGTTTCTGGATGGTGCGGTAAGCAGTATAAACTTATGCTGTTTATTACCACAATAATTCCATTAGAGGGCAATACTGTACAATCTACGGTGGTCAGTGGAAGCCAGCAATATGTCTGCTAAAAGTACCGGCTTTTCCTTCACTGTATTCCTCAGAGCCATCTTGGTGTTTTCTTGAATAGGAGAAAGCACAGATGTTCTTACAAAGAGATCACCTTGTGTTGAAAAACTGTCATGTATGACTGGTCCAAAAGTTGGGAGAGACACCAATCTTCATCATGAGGATCAATTTCATGATATTAGAGGGCCACTTTCTATCTAAATTCTATCTAAATCTTAACGCTGTTATACCCAGATCCCAAAAGGACTCCTGTGGTGTAAGAACAGGAAGAGGGGGGAAAAAAGGAAAAATGTAATTTTGTGGTGAGGAAATCATCACTTGGAAGTTCTCCTGTTCAATTCTTGAAAGATAGCTAAGTCCACTCAGGACCAAAAAACACAGCACGTGGAGCTTAAAATGATTGTGTCCTTGTCCAGTTTTTTTTTACCATGAGGGAAACACACAACTGCTTGCTTCAGATCAAGCTCATGTTTGAGTAGGGTTTAGGAAGAGGCCTCTTACTCCCAGCCCCTTGGAAGAATGTATGTGCACACACTATTCTACCCAAACCAGATATGTGACTGTATTTACTAATTATTTTAAACAAAGATAGTGAGAGCAAGGATCAGGCCACTCAGCCTTACCTATCGAGTATCAATCCAGATAGAACTACTCAATTAAATGAGGGTGAGAGGAGGGAGAAGGAAGAGTATCTGCTTAGTATACATTTTAAATACAGCATAATTTGTTCTTCTAGCCTAGACAATTGTATACCACGCATATAAATGAAACATCAGGAAACGAGAGTGAGCTATTCCCCAGAGAGGGTTTTTTTTTTTTTAGGCCTTACCCAATTAACAAGGACATATTTAGGCAGGGTGGCCTGCGGATCTTTGACACTGCAGAATCCGTACATCACCTTCTGGTTCTCAAAATGGCTAGACAGCTCTTGCAGGCCACCAGCTGGGGAGAGAAAGCAACACACTCATGGGACAAAGCAAGAGTCAGACCCTTCTGCTTTTCAGCTTATGATACACTTTATAAAATTAAATCTGTTTTCTCCGCCATCTGGGGAGATTCCTGTCACAAGTCAGGAGCAACTCACTCCCAAATTCAACCCCCGGTCTATGCAACCGTGCCCTATGGAAGGGAGGAGCAGATATTCCTTTGTGGAGACAAAAGCTGCTCGGACTAAAGACAAAGATGCCAATACTCACTTCCTGAGGCTGCCAGTTTCAGATTATCAGAGTCTTCTTCATAGGTATACAAAGCCCTGGAATAAAAAAAATAATAATGCAAATACGTTGGAACAGGAAAGCACGTATAGAAGTCTGACTATTCCTGCTCTCCCAAACCTGCACAAAGGAAAACCGGAGTCTCTACTAAGGAAAAGACAATGTGATGGTTTATATTGCAATAGTTTTGCACATGTTGATCATTTGTTCTCCTGCTACAATCCCAAAAACTGTGCATGTCTTTAAAACACTTTATCTTAATTACTTGCAATAGAGACTTCTGTAGACAGAAATGAACCTCACCCTTCACAAGGACTAAATACATTTGGGATCCTTTCGCTTTCTAAAAAGTGAAAGATGTGGCTCATAAAGTTGAGTTGAGTGATGCTGAATTAATTTGCATGCTCTCTGCACAGAATGCGTGCCATACTGGCCTTAAAGAAAGACTTATTTAAAATATATTGCGTTCGGTACAGAATTTCACTTCCCAAACAGCTGAAGTTTTTTACAATAGAATTATTAAAAGTATTATGATGTATGTTTTCATGAATTAGTATCTGTTTCATCAAGGTCTGAAACACAGTCTGAGTTCTAGATTTATGGAGGGGAGATTGTAAAAAGTGAAATCGGGGAAAATGAAATCAGGAAGTACAAGTATTCATGCAATCGTATTAAGAGGAATCCTGCACAAAACAATACTTATTGGGAAAATATAAATATAATAAGAAGAAATGGATTGAGGGAGACATGGTGTAAAGAAGTAGGCAAGTTACTGTAGGAGGAGGGTCAAAAATTTGGTGCTGCTCCCCACTTCTAGCCCAAACACCTCAATCTGAAATCTAAGAAGTAAAACTGCTAGTGATCCTGGCCTTGAGTTACTAATGGTAGATGCCAGATTTACTTATAATTTAATCATATGAATCCACACTTTGATACCGGATATCCAAGTGGATCTGGCATGCATTATCAAAATCTTGTGGGGGAAGAGCAATGATGTCATCCTGAAATTTCCCCTAAATACTCTAATTTTGAGTATTTCAGCAACCAACTCCAGGACTGGGTGAGGTTGTGATAATTATGGGATCCATTTTGTCTGTGGCCAAGGTTTCAGTTCTGGGGAAACAGGGCATTCGTGCCTATGTGTATGATTGCGCAACAGAGATAGGTTGGGGTCCTGTTAAATGTTCTGATTGCTGTGCTGCTGAATATGATGCTTTTTAAAACCTACCTATTAAGACTGGTTTGGAAATTGCCACATCTTGAGAGAAGCTTCAGAGAAGGTTCAGGAATTCTAAAACAACCATTAGGCATATCCACATAAATCTGTTCATACACATACATACCTGTATGTGTATAGGTTGGGAAAACAACCTATACCTAGGTTGTTTTCTCCGAGCAATTAATGAGGTAGCGGGCGTTCGGTTGAAGTTTTTTATGACAATAAGATAACTCTCTGGTCCAGATAAGATTCATGATTGCCCAGAACCTCTGCAAAGCAGGTCTGTCTCAGCAGCCTAATGGATTCGGGTGGATTCTAGAGGGTATTTGGGAATCATCTTAGTGATCTTAGAGTAACCCATAGACTTTTGGATTCAGGAGGCAACTTTAATACTTAATATGTTTGCTCCTAAGTGGCCCCTTCCCATTAACCAATTCTAGGGAGCTCTTTGGAAAATCAAGGAGATGAAGCAGCAGTAACTATGCCTGGAATGCTGGTGGAAGAAAATGAAATGTGAATCCGACTGCGTAGGGGCATGAGCTTATGTTCAAGCCTACACAAGAGCAGTAAGAGCAAGAAAGCATCAAACCTGTGCTGCTAATCTCACTTTAAATGAATGTTCAATTCTTGCAAGGGGAAGCAGGAAGAGCTGCCACCTGGCTTCTATGACTTGTTAGTCCAACATTTTGATAATAAAAGTCATTGCAATTTGGATTTTCCATGAACAAAGACAGAAATGATGGCTGGAATAAGGACTCCTTTCAGCCTATGGACTCCAATGAAGTGGACAGGGTGCTGTCTAACAAACTATCTGTGAGATTTGATCCATGCTTCTCTTAGATCCTTCAGTTTACTTAATTTTATGTGCAGTGTGGGACACACACTAACTGGGACTAAGAAATAATCAGTCTCTAAGGGAGGGGATGATATCAGCCATCTTGAAGGAGGCAGCGTTACACTGCCTTTTCAAGAGGCTTCCTTCAGCTCTTTCGGACAACTATTGCCTGGTCTTCAACCTTCCCGTTTTGAGGAAAGTTATAGAGAAGATGGTGAGTTATCAGTTAACAAACACCTTAAAGGAAGCAGATTATTTAAATGGCTTTTAGTCTACATCTCCACCTTTTCACCTATATACCTCAACTTCTGATTGGAGGTTCAGGAACCAAATAGCCTGAAGTTAAATCCCAGCAAAACTGAGCTACTGTTTAGTCAGAAGAGCTTTCTATCAGCTTCAGGTGTAACTCTGAAAGGGTTTTTTCTAAACCCACAGTCTACTAGGATAGGTAGAGGCATGATCAGTTCTTCTTCAGTTTTGTGCCAGTTGTACCCTACATGGAGTGGGAAGTTTTAGCAACAGTGACTTATTCTCTTATTACCACAACTGGACTACTGCATGGGGCTGCCTTTAAAAATCACTCAGAAACTGTGTTTGTTGCAAAATGCAATGGTGTACTTGCTGGCAAACGAGTATCACCATAGTTACGTGACACCCATTAACACAGGGCCTCAACTGGCTATAAATTTGTTTCTAATTACAGATGGTTTTAGCTTATAAAGCCCTATACTGCTTAGTTTCAAAGTACCTCGGGAGCACTTCCACCTACCAGATGTATTCTCCCTGGCCAAATCTGGGCATTTTTATTGCAATCCCTATTTTGGAACTCTTCTCTCTTCCCCTCAAGGCCAGACTAACACTTACACTGGTGGCTATTTGGAAGTTAGTGGAGGCTGAACATTTCCCAAGAACATTCAGGAAATGATGGCTTGGTATGATCTTATTGTCTATATTGCTCAGGTGTTGTTGATTGTATGCAATATTGTTTTATTCAGGTCAAATTCCAAGAGCCCATGCAAATTGCAATGGTATAGAAATTAAATACCGGTAACCATGAAACTTTCCATTTTCAGAAGACAGAACTAAGCTTCTGGATGAATTGTTACTTGACTCTGGATTTTTGGAATACGTACCTGAAGTATTTGTGTTCCTGGACATCACCTTAAGTTTAACAATATAATTATTGGGGAGGTTGAAGTGTTTTATTCATTTTTTAACAGTGCCTTTTTAAAATATTGTCACTTCAAATCTCAGATTTTTATGTTGATTTTGACTTCTCCTTAGTAAGAAATTAGAGGTATGTTGTATTAAGGTATTAAAACAAAGAGTGAATCTAGGCCCTCCTAAAAAAACTGAATACCAAACATCATTGGGTCCAGAATGTAATTCCTCAGGAGATCTCAAAATAGCTCATATGTGAAATCACTTGTCTTCTAATAAGAGGGTTGAAAGCACCTCCCACACTAATGTTGCAAAAAATTAATACAACCCAGCACCATCCACAGGCACTTATTGCCTTAGCCAAGTTGATCAAAGCAGCACTGCAGCATTGTGTCTATGGAGATTCTCAGTCCTCTGGGTCATGGTTGTCCCAAAGGTGCTTTTTCCCCAGAGGATTTCCAGAAAAACTGCAGACTACAGGAACCATTTGTGCTTCAGTGTGAGATGCAGACAGCACAGATGCATCCCCATCAGCCTATGCTCAACAGTGAAGGGACACAGGGTGGAAAACATCCTGCAGAAAGCACAGCTCCAACTTCTCAATGAAAGAAAACCAGAAAGTCCAGTTGCAAAAAAAAAGCACCTTTGGGACACTGCAGCATTGTGACACAAGTCCTGCCCTTAAGTTCATGTGACGTTATGATGTGTGTGGAAAAGAGGGGGGGGGTGTCTTCCCTCATGATGCTGCTTCTGTCACTCTAACTCACTTGCCCCCTGCAGACCCCACGGAATATAACAGAAAATAAATGGAAAAGTATCAACTATATTTAAATATGTTAATTTGATAAATGTCAATTAAAATTAAATCAAAATTAATTTTTGTCCTATTCCTGACCAATTTTTGGAGTATAGCTCCTGGCATGCCACTCAAAAATGGTCCTTAGTCCAAAACAATTCAGCACCCTTATATAACAAAAGCATCCCTAATATATTCTGTACCAGAAAACATAAAAGTGGTTACGATAATGTTAATTAAATAAAAAAAAAGGATTTGGCGAGGAAACAATAAAAAGCTGACCAGTTAGCTGTTTAGAGCATGCCCCAAATAAACTGATGGAAAGTATTATTAATGATAATTTTCTATAAGACATATAGAAAGCCAAAGGAGATGGTTTCTACAAAAATGCAATGGTGGTTATCTATTTGAAGGGTTTTAAGACAAGACTAGACACATTTCTTGAGACTAAAGCTATCAACACCTTCTAGTCATGATGGCTCTATTATTGGAAGCAACTACTAGTTACAAGAGAAATGACGGGAGATTTTTGTGTCATGCCTGTCTTATGGACCTCCCATACTCAAGTTTCTTGGTATTTTCCCCATCAGGCAAAAGCAAAATTCAATCATCTATGTCAGTAAATTCCACAAAGCATCTGGTTGGCCATTGTGAGGACAGCATTAGCTAGGCAGGCTTGGGATTAATGAGGCGATCTCTTATTAGTTGTATCTTTAACTTTATATTGTCAAAATATTTCAGAATGACAGATTAATAATTGGCTGCAAAGCAAGGTGTCGACTGCTCAGCCTCGACAGAGTTGCCTTCCTAACAGTTCCTGCAAAATAATGATCATCACAAAATTGTGTTAAAAGAAAGCAATGATCATTTCTTATTTTAGAACATAGCTCATCTCAGAATTGTCCAGAGCATATTCTTTACTTTGGGGGAGTTGGCCTGGCAGAGTGAAGATTCAGAATCACTGCCGTGAGACGGGCAACTGTATCAGGCAACTGACTGATTGATTGATTGAGACAATCAGTCAGGT